GATTATCCCCCAGCGGTGAGGGAAATGGCAGATAAACCAAACCATTCCAACAAATGACAGCGAGGTCTCTGCAATCCAGACAGAAATTTGGGGATTTTTTAATTTATTTTATTTGAGGTACTTATATAGTCCCATCAATTTACGCAAGCACTTTACATATATATTGTACATTCACATCAGTCCCTAACCTTCAAGGGGCGTACAATCTAAGGTCCCTAACTCACATTCATACATACACATACTAGGGACAATTTAGACAGGAGCCAATTCACCTACCAGCATGTCTTTGGAGTGTGGGGAGGAAACCCACACAGGCACAGGGAGAACATGCAAACTCCAGGCAGGTGGTGCAGTGGTCAGGATTTGAACCATAAATAAATATATCAGCACCAAACTACCCCTATACCAATAATTACTACACCCTAAAAGAAGAAAGTCAAACACTTTCACCCTTGAAAGCTAACATGAATATAAACTTTTCTCATAAATGAAAATACCCAAATCATAAGTGTTCCAAATGTCCCTCAATCACAATAAATTCCCAAAGAAAATTATATTAAAAATCAGTCGAATAAAGTCTTTTCTTCCTCCAAAATAAATGTCTTTTCTTTCCTTTAGCCACCGTGATGTATCCAGATTTTCCTTGTACCATCAAAAAAATATACTCAAAATAAGTTTTATACCCTTTATAAATAATTTACGTGCCACTAATTTGAAAATCATGCAAAAAAAATGCAAAGCATGTGCAAAACACATGTGAAGGGAAGAAGAAAAAGAGGAAGAAAAAAAAAAATAAAAAAAAATATACTCTATATAATCAGTTGCAAGAAAAAGTATGTGAACCCCTTGGCGATGTACATGGAGTTTTGCATGCATTGGGCATAAAATGTGCTCTGAACGTCATCTAAGTCACAACAATAGAAGAACACAGTCTGCAGAACATAATACTACACAAACATTAGATGTTGCCATGGTTTAATTGCACATAACATGTAAACATTCACAGTGCATGGAGAAAAAGTATGTGAACCTTTGGACTTAATAACTGGTTGACCCTCCTTTGGCAGCAATAACCTCAACCAAAAAACGTTTCCTGTAGTTGCAGATCAGACCTGCACAACGATCTGGAGTAATTTTGGACCACTGATCTTCACAAAACTTTCATTGTTCAGTGTAGCAACATTCTTGGGATTGTGGTGTGAATCGCTCTCTTAAGGTCATGCCACAGCATTTCAATCGGGTTGAGGTCAGGACTCTGACTGGGCCACTCCAGAAGGCGTATTCTTTGCTGTTGCAGCATTGTTTTGTTGAATTACTTGTATGTCTTTGGGTCATTGTCCTGTTGCATCACCCATCCTCTGCGGAGCTTCAGTTGGCAGACAGATGGTCGTACATTTTTCCTGCAAAATGTCTTGATAAACTCTGGAATTTTATTTTCCATCAATGACAACAACCATCCCATCCAGGCCCATCCAGGCAGCCCTGAGGCAGCAAAGCCCCAAAAACCATGATGCTCCCTCCTCCATGTTTCACAGTGGGGATGAGGTTTTGATGTTGGTGTGGCTGTGCCTTTTTTTCTCCACACATAGTGTTGTGTGTTCTTCCCAAACAACTCAATCTTGGTTTCATCTGTCCACAGTATATTTTGCCAGTAGTGCTGTGGAACATCCAGGTGCTCTTTTGCAAACTTCAAACGTGCTGCAATATTCTTTTGGACAGCAATGGCTTTCCTCTGTGGTGTCCCTCCCATGTACTCCATTCTTGTTTAATGTTTTCCTTACTGTAGATGTGTCAACAAAAAATGTTAGCATGTGCCAGAGATTTCTGTAGGTCTTTAGCTGACACTCTGGGATTCTCCTTTACCTCATGCAGCATTCTGCGCTGTGCTCTTGCAGTCATTTTTTACAGGACGACCACCCGCCTAGGGAGAGAAGCAACAGTGCTAAACTTTCTCCATTTGTAGACAGTCTGTCTTACCGTGGACACATGAACATCAAGGCTTTTGGAGATACTTTTGTAACCCTTTCCAGCTTCATGCAAGTCAACAATTCTTGATCATAGGTCTTCTGAGAGCTCTTTTCTGCGGGGCATGGTTCACATCAGACAGTGCTTCTTGAAACCAGTAAACCCAAAACAGGTGTGTGTTTTTTTAAGGGCAGGACAGCTGTCAGAAAAACATCCAATATCAATCACACTTATATGAAAAAAAAAGGTGCAGCGCTGTATAACTAAACAAATAATGAATGATTACACAATAGTAACAGTGACTGTAAGTTAATAATGCCACTAGATGGTGGCTATAAGGTGAAGAGAGTGAAAACAGTCCAATGAAGGGGTGCTCTTAAGATCCGGGGGTGATCTTCAGACGTCCAATATACAGGACCATCAGGTGATAAAATATAAAGACTGCGCACCCACATCACCAGATACGCAATCTTTATGCGGATTTGTATGAAAATATCACTAGACCTACCTCCTGTGTCATCATCCTGGTCTGGTCAGATCTGGTCAGCATATCCCTCATGGCCTGGTACCTGGATGGATGCAGCTGTTCTGTAGATTTGGCCGGTTCCCACCAGAACTCAAATAAATAGAAAAGGGCCACATAGTGTAATATCCTCAGGTATCTTTATTGGAGGCACAGGATAGCAGAAAATCCAACATACAAAAAAATACTGACCCAGGTATGAATCAAAGATGCCGCACGAGCCCCCTCGTGGCGCCGGCGGTGAAGCGTCCAACCTGCTGTAGCTATCCCTATAGCTACAGCAGGTTGGACGCACCGCCGGCGCCACGAGGGGCTCCGGCGGCCATCTTTGATTCATACCTGGGTCAGTATTTTTTTGTATGATTGGGATTTTCTGCTATCCTGTGCCTCCAATAAAGATACCTGAGGATATTACAACTATGTGGCCCTTTCTATTTAATTGAGTTCTGGTGGGAACCGGCCAAATCTACAGAACAGCTGCATCCATCCAGGTACCAGGCCATGAGGGATATGCTGACCAGATCTGACCAGACCAGGATGATGACACAGGAGGTCTAGTGATATTTTCATACAAATGCGCATAAAGATTGCGTATCTGGTGAGTGCGCAGTCTTTATATTTTATCACCTGATGGTCCTGTATATTGGACGTCTGAAGATCACCCCGGATCTTAAGAGCACCCCTTCATTGGACTGTTTTTCACTCTCTTCACCTTATAGCCACCATCTAGTGGCATTATTAACTTACAGTCACTGTTTACTATTGTGTAATCATTCATTATTTGTTTAGTTATACAGCGCTGCACCTCCCTTTTCATATATATGCTATTGAAGGTTTGATACGGTGCCTTTTCTGGTGTACAGCCGCTGCTTATTATACAGTATCACATAAGCGCTCACTTATCTTTTGTTTTTCCTGAATATCATCACACTGATTGGGGTCAAGGTTGGCTCACTCCTGGCTCCAATTAGCTCTGGGAAAGTCATTAAGCTAGGGCCTCACATACTTTTTCCTCCCTGCACTGTGAATGTTTACATGTTATGTGCAATTAAACCATGGCAACATCTAATGTTAGTGTAGTATTATGTTCAGCAGACTGTGTTCTTCTTCTATTGTTGTGACTTAGATGACGTTCAGAGCACATTTTATGCCCAATTCATGCAAAACTCCACGTAATCCCAAGGGGTTCACATACTTTTTCTTTCAACTGTATAAAAAAAAATCTGTATAAATAAAATTATATAATATCTTCAGTATAAAATAAATCGTGAATATACTCCAATTGTGAACAATAAACAGTGATTCACTTCAATCTAGTGTGAAACCACACTTAATAACAAAAAGTGTTCCAACTACCAAACCAAACTCTATCCAAAACGTTCCTTATTTATTTGTGCAAGCAAAGATATAGATTAAATAAAGTGTTCCACTGCAACTGGTATAAAAGTGAATAATTACTCTATATCAGTAACAAAACGGCATTTCTCACATAAAGGATGAAAACATTCTCCAGGGTCCAAATTATTCCTGTAGTTTCTCCTCCATTCTCCTCATGGAATAAATCAGGGATTTAGAGATGATGGTGTATAGATTATATAAACATTTATTTAGCAACTTCCATTAAAATCTGGAGATAACAGCTCCCAATGACAGAGACAGCTCAAATGTTTGTATTATCAAACATAATGATTACATTTACATTTCATGATTAGCATTACATTTCTATAATACATGGAAATTTCCCCATTTTTTTGTCATTTTAAAAACTTTGCAAGTACCGAAAAATACCTGTTGAGCTGGCAGAAATCCAGCGAGCTCCTAACTTCCTGTAGTAGGCTGACCACGCTGCCTCTGCTGCACTAAAATCACAAGCTGTGTAATCACCCCCTACCTGCTGTACTGGAGAACTACGCCAATCCCCAGCCCCCTCCACGTGGTATATTGATTCCTTTCCCAGCATAACAATTCTGCTGCCTTGCTCCCAGCAGCCTCCACACACACTGGGGTTTATTTACTAAAGCTGGAGAGTCCAAAATCAGACTCCCTTCTGCATAGAAACCAATCAGCTTCCAGGTTTCATTGCCAAAGCTTCACTGAAACAAGCTGAGGTTAGAAGCTGATTGGTTTCTATGCAGAAGGGAGTCTGATTTTGGACTCTCCAGCTTTTAGTAAATAAACCCCACTGTGTCTAGGGAAGGGACTCTTGGGAGATGTAGTTCTGGGGTTGTGTCTAGATCACCAGGAACTGACCAGGCAGTTGCCCCTGCAAGCCTGGTGATGATGTCATGGGGAGTAATTAAACCTCATCTAGAAGGGGGAGCAGGCGGATCGGTGTCAATCTGGGGAATGCATGAACATACACTTTAAAATGGCAGTTAGAAAGTCATAGAAAAACAAGAAACGTCATCCACCAACCAGTCAGAATCTCTCTTCTGTCTTTATTGTTACAATTGTTGCTGCTTCTCATGTCATGTGAATCGATGTGAAGTCACCTTCCTCTGTCATTGGACAGGATTTCATCCTGGAGCACTACAGTGAAGACGGTGCTGATTATGAAAATGAACTGGCCGACCTGATGGACCTCAGACAGGTATGATTACATGTGATTGTTCAATGTTAACCGCTCATTTTCAGACCCCATATTAAAGTGTACCTGTCAGTGCAGAGACAGACCTTTTATGGGTTAGGCGGATGATTCTCAACAAGGCTGCTGCAGCTCCTACTGAGTAACTGGGGGACTCTGATGTGATGGAGGGAACACTGATATGATTGGGGCCTTTGATGTGACGGGGGCTGTCATGTATAGGGGTGTGATGTTAAGGGAGGATTCTAATGTGATGGGATGCCGCTAATGTATCTCTGATGTAAAGGAGTTCTCTGATGTATTAGGGGACCTCTGATGTTATGGGGGGGCTCTGATGTAAAGGAGTGCTCTGATGTTATGAGGGGCCTCTGATGTATAGGGGTGACTCTGATGTGATGGGAGGATTCTGGTGTGATGGGACGCTGCTGATGTGATGGGGGCCTCTGATGTAAAGGAGTGCTCTGATGTTATGAGGGGCCTCTGATGTATAGGGGTGACTCTGATGTGAAGGGGGAACTCTGATGTAAAGGAGTTCTCTGATGTATTATTCTGGTGTGATGGGACACTGCTGATATGATAGGGGCCTCTGATGTATACATCTGATGTATAATCACAACTCTGATTTGAAGGGGGAATTCTGATGTAAAGGGGTGTCCTGATATAATTAAGGACTTCTGATGTGATTGGGGGGTGGGTAGGGTTCTGATGTATAGGGGTGACTCTGATGTGATGGGAGGCTGTCATGTAGTGGGGAGCCTCTGATGTTAAGGGAGAATTCTGGTGTGATGGGGGGGGGGGGGGGGACTGATGTGATGAGAGGCTCCCATGCATATGGGTGACTTTGATGTTCTGGGGGTTCTTATGTAAAGGATGGGACTGATGGTGCAGCTCTGATGCAAAGGGAGGCTGTAGTGTAGAGGGGTGACTCTGATGTGAGGGGAGGGCTCAGATGTGATTGAGGGAGTCTGATGTCATGGGGGGACTGTGATGTAAAGGGGGACTCTGATGTGGTGGGAAGAACCTCTGATGTGGTGGGGGCTTCTGATGTCATGCTCAGGTTTCCCATTGATAAGTAACATTTACGGTTTTTACATTCCATGCAGGGATGCCTCGAGATTCTGTATACTTTTAAAGGGTGACTTAACCCCTTCCAGTCCGGACACTTTCCCCCCCCCTTCCAGTCCAGACACTTTCCCCCCCTTCCAGTCCGGACACTTTCCCCCCCCTTCCAGTCCAGTACACTTTCCCCCCCTTCCAGTCCGGACACTTTCCCCCCCCTTCCAGTCCGGACACTTTCACCCCCCCTTCCAGTCCGGACACTTTCCCCCCCCTTCCAGTCCGGACACTTCCCCCCCCTTCCAGTCCGGACACTTCCCCCCCCTTCCAGTCCGGACACTTTTCCCCCCCTTCCAGTCTGGACACTTCCCTCCCCCCCCCTTCCAGTCCGGACACTTTTCCCCCCCCTTCCAGTCCGGACACTTTCCCCCCCTTCCAGTCCGGACACTTTCCCCCCCTTCCAGTCCGGACACTTCCCCCCCCTTCCTTCCAGTCCGGACACTTCCCCCCCCTTCCAGTCCGGACACTTCCCCCCCCCCCTTCCAGTCCGGACACTTTTCCCCCCTTCCAGTCTGGACACTTCCCCCCCCCCCTTCCAGTCCGGACACTTTTCCCCCCTTCCAGTCTGGACACTTCCCCCCCCCCCCCCCTTCCAGTCCGGACACTTTCCCCCCCTTCCAGTCCGGACACTTTCCCCCCCCCAGTCCGGACACTTTCCCCCCTTCCAGTCCGGACACTTTCCCCCCCTTCCAGTCCAGGCCAATGTTCAGCTTTCAGCACTATCACACTTTGAATGACAATTGTCCAGGCCAATGTTCAGCTTTCAGCACTATCACACTTTGAATGACAATTGTGCGGACTGTAACACTGTACCCATATGAATTTTTCGCATTTTTTTGAGACAGATAAATCTTTATTTTGGTGGTATTTATTCACCACTGGGATTTTTATTTTTTTTTTGCTATATAAATGAAATTTTGAAAAAAAGTGTTTTTTCTTATAAAATTTAGCAAATAAATAATATTTCATTATAAATATTGGCCAAAATTTATTCCGTTATCTTTTTAGTAAAAAAAAAATAACCCAAATTAGTTTATAACCAAAACCTATCATTTTTAAACATTTTTTTTTTTTTATATTTTTTATTTAATTTTTTTATATTACTATTTATTTATTTATTTTACATAATGTCACCCTAGCAGTACAGTGTCACCATGGTGACACTGTACTACTTGTGGGGGGTGATGAAGATTCGTTTTTTTTTTTGTTACACTGATTGCTTTTACACCCATAAACGCTGTAAAAGCAATCATTTCTCCTTCTCTCTGGCTGCATTCTTGTAGCCATTGAGAAATACTGTGAGAGCTGTGATTGATCACAGCTTGTCACATGGTACAGGGCTGTTGTGAATAACCTTGTACCATGTGACCTATGTGATCCTTCAGATTTCACACGTAGTAAGCAATGATGTCACAAGTGACATCTTGCTTATTACTCTGCATGTGATCACTGATTGGCCAATCAGTGATCACATGATCGGGACCTCGCGCAGAGAGGTCCTGTATGACGATCGGTGTTCCACTTTGTCCGGAGGACACAGCGGGCACTGGATCGTGGTGCTGTGCGCTCCCAGGAGCGCGCACAAACAGGGGGTGGGGTGGCCGTTTACAAACAGCCGCCCGACCCTGTACTGCCATCGTCTGGCCGTTTATATACAACGGCCGGACGGGAGGTGGTTAAAGAAGGCTGAGAGATGCTGGGTTAGGCAGAGGAGGTTTCAGGATGATTGTACTATGGGACCGTATTTGTCAGAGTGACGTAACGCAAACCCGTCAATCATTCCACCTTTTGCTATCCCTGGGCCTGTGACACCTTTCTCCTTTGTATTCATCAGATACATCTGACAGCACCAGTGTCCGATGCCTGGTCCCCCCCCCCCCCCCTCTCTGCTCTGTGGTTCCTTCCATCAGCCTGCAAATCCTGTAGTCGGGGAGGGGTCAGTGGAAGGAACCACAGGACATAGAGGGGGGATCAAGAATCTGACACTTCTGGAAGTGTCGGATGCAGAAGAATCTTCTGGTGAATAGAAAAGAGAACAGCATTACGGGCAGTAGGACAGATAGGTATTAAAAGTCTATTTTTGTTTTTTTGGTGTCCACACAGCAAGGTCCCTTTACTATCCCGAGCAGCCAATCACTTGTTGCATTTTAGACCCATGCTGCAAAGCTGACCCATGTAAAACAGGGAGAAGCAAATTCCAGCTGAACTTTTGTCCATCTTGGGAATTCTTATGGAAAACAAAAACTGCTGCCAGTTACCGTGCTGCTGTATTAATCAATTATTATGAATGATTGACAGCAACTCATTATTATTTAATTACATTGAAGCCCCAGTGGGCGGTCCGCCATGGTTGTGGCTATATGTGCCTGTAGCGGTCGCATTCTTCCTAAGGGGTTAATCGTGTAATGTTCAGAAGATCTGATAACTGAGGAATTTTGACCCTCTCATCTGTCAGTTTCTGACACTAGTACTTGCAGATTGTGAAAGGTAAATAGCAACTAGACTGGTTGTTACAAGTTGACATGCCACAGTGCCCTATATATGTTATCTGTAAGCAGCATTCTTTGCAGTGAACACCAATGTAAGGAGCTTCTTCCCACTGACCACCAATGTAAGGGGCATTCTTCCCACTGATCATCCATGTAAGGAGCATTCTTCCCACTGACCACCAATGTAAGGGACATTCTTCCCACTGATCATCCATGTAAGGGACATTCTTCCCACTGATCCATCCATGTAAGGAGCATTCTTCCCACTGACCCCCAATGTAAGGAACATTCTTCCCACTGACCACCAATGTAAGGAACATTCTTCCCACTGACCACCAATGTAAGGAGCATTCTTCCCACTGACCACCAATGTAAGGGACATTCTTCCCACTGACCCCCAATGTAAGAAGCATCTTCCCACTGACCACCAATGTAAGGAGCATCTTCCCACTGACCCCCAATGTAAGGAGCATCTTCCCACTGACCACCAATGTAAGGGGCATTCTTCCCACTGACCACCAATGTATGGAGCATTCTTCCCACTGACCCCCAATGTAAAAGGAGCATTCTTCCCACTGATCACCAATGTAAGGGATATTCTTCCCACTGAACTCCAATGTAAGGGACATTCTTCCCACTGACCCCCAATGTAAGGGACATTCTTCCCACTGACCACCAATATAAGGGGCATTCTTCCCACTGATCACCAATGGAAGGGACATTCTTCCCCACTGACCCCCAATGTAAGGTGCATTCTTCCCACTGACCACCAATATAAGGGGCATTCTTCTCACTGACCCCCAATGTAAGGAGCATCTTTCTACTGACCACCAATGTAAGGGGCATTCTTCCCACACTGACCCCAATGCAAGGAGCATCTTCCCACTGAACTCCAATGTAAGGGGCATTCTTCCCACTGATCACCAATGTAAGGGGCGTTCTTCCCCCACTTATCACCAATGTAAGGGGCATCCTTCCAACTGACCACCAATGTAAGGGGCATTCTTCCCACTGACCACCAATGTAAGGGGCATTCTTCCCACTGATCACCAATGTAAGGGACATTCTTCCCACTGATCACCAATGTAAGGGGCATTCTTCCCGCTGATCACCAATGTAAGGAGCATCTTCCCACTGACCACCAATGTAAGGGGCATTCTTCCCACTGACCACCAATGTAAGGGGCATTCTTCCCACTGACCACCAATGTAAGGGACATTCTTCCCACTGATTACCCTTGTAAGGGGCATTCTTCCCACTGACCACCAATGTAAGGGGCATTCTTCCCACTGATCACCAATGTAAGGGGGCATCCTTCCAACTGACCACCAATGTAAGGGGCATTCTTCCCACTGACCACCAATGTAAGTAGCCTTCTTCCCACTGACTACAAATGTAAGGAGCATTCCTCCCACTGACCACCAATGTAAGGGGCATTCTTCCTACTGACCACCAATGTAAGGAGCATTCTTCCCACTGACCACCAATGACCACCAATGACCCCCAATGAAGGGGGCACTTTTCCCATAGACAACCAATTTATTGGTTCCCTTCTCCCACTGATTAGCAATGTAAAGAGACTTTTCTGCACTGACCACATATTAAAAAGAGCATTTCATCGACCCACCAGTGTAAGTAGGGACTTTGCTGACTACTAATGTAAGGGAACTCCATCATTTTCACTCTCTGCATTTCATTTCATTTCATTGACTATTTCAGCTTCCTGTTCATGCCAGTGTACTGTTAGCTGTAGATATGGTAATTATTAGCAGGGGTTCCCTGAGACCTGAAAGTTATTTCAAGGGGTTGTCCATGTTAAAAAATTTGAGAAATTTTGAAGAGTAGAATGGGCGCAAGCCTCTGATTGGTGGCTGGTCTTTACCTCCATGTTTGTTCCTTCTCAGTTTCTGCTATTTCCCGGGATGTGGGAGTCATGGAAAGATATCTGGTGGTCTTAATAAATCTCGATCCAAAAGTGAAAGAATTTTTGGGGGGATTTTAGGAGAGGCCCTTAGCAGCCTCCCCTCCTGTGATAGCATACCACGGCCGGCCGGTGACTTCATTGCTGAAGAATCCTATCTGTTTCTTTAATGTGATGATGTAGAATTCCCTCCACTTTCTCTTAAGGACAGGAGGGGGATTTAAAAAATGTGCATATAGTGGCCCCAGACTTTGGCAGCTGATAGGATGGCCCCCAGACCTTGGGTGTTATGATAGAATGGCCCCCCCCAGACTTTGGCCATTATGATAGGACAGCCCCCCCAGACTTTGACCGTTATGATAGGACGGCCCCCCCAGACTTTGGCTGTTATGATAAGGACGGCCCTCCCCAGACTTTGGCCCCCCCCCAGACGTTAGCCGTTATGATAGGACCGCCCCCCAGACTTTGGCCGTTATGATAGGACAGCCCGCCAGACTTTGGCTGTTATGATAGGACAGCCCGCCAGACTTTGGCTGTTATGATAGGACAGCCCCCCCCCAGACTTTGGCCGTTATGATAGGACGGCCCCCCCAGACTTTGGCTGTTATGATAGGATGCCCCCCCAGACTTTGGCTGTTATGATAGGACGGCCCCCCCAGACCTTGGTGTTATAATAGGACGGCCCCCTCAGACTTTGGCTGTTATGATAGGATGGCCCCCAGACTTTGGCCATTATGATAGGACAGCCCACCAGACTTTGTCTGTTATGATAGTACAGCCCCCCCAGACTTTGCCCGTTATGATAGGACAGCCCCCCAGACTTTGGCCGTTATGATAGGACAGCCCCCCAGACTTTGGGCGTTATGATAGTACAGCCCCCCAGACTTTGGCTGTTATGATAGGACAGCCCCCCCCAGACTTTGACCGTTATGATAGGACGGCCCCCCCAGACTTTGGCTGTTATGATAGGATGGCCCCCCCAGACTTTGGCTGTTATGATAGGACGGCCCCCCCAGACTTTGGCTGTTATGATAGGACGGCCCCCCCAGACTTTGGCTGTTATGATAGGACGGCCTCCCCAGACTTTGGCTGTTATGATAGGACAGCCCCCCCAGACTTTGACCGTTATGATAGGATGGCCCCCCAGACCTTTGGCGTTATGATAGGATGGCCCCCCCAGACCTTGGGCGTTATGATAGGATGACCCACCCAGACTTTGACCATTATGATGGAAGGCCCCCCTGACTCTTTCCAAAAAGCGCATCGGGTGAAAACGCGGAGATGTGAACCTGTCCCATAGGAAATCATGTTAAATGGACTGTAGTGCATTTCTGCAAAACGCTGCGGAAAATGCTTAGGTGTGAATCTAGACTCACACTTTAACCCGACTGGGCTGCAGCCATCCAGCACAGAGGGAGGTGAATGGTCACCTTGTGTTGCTTTACATGTTTTCTGGCAGACAGACTGCATCTTTATTTAGCTGTTGGGTTAGGAGTTGCCCCTCTCGTGTTACATTGTCGTCATATTTCAGATTGTGGAAGGTGTCACGCTGGTTGTCTCCTTGTTTGCAGGCATGCCGGACGCCCAGCAGAGACGAATCTGGAATAGATATGCTAATAAGTTATTTCCAACAGCTCGGGTTCATGGAGAACCGGTTCTTCCCCTCCAGCAGGCACATGGGGATCCTCTTCACATGGTACGTTCACAATTGCCAAATTAAAAATGTATCAAAAGCCGAAATTTGTATTTTCTTAGATGTACCTATAGAGTGTCTCCAGTTTGTGGCTTAGAGCCCCTGTCAGGTTTTTATTGCTTTAGCTACATGTATAAGAGGTGTGCTGGAAGCAGAAGAGGCACTAGATCTCCTTTTACGAATATCCACTGTTGTGAACGATCGTCTCATTGATCAAGCTGATTCCCTTTGGTTAGACTACATACATGTACCAGAGCACCCCCCAAAAGAAGGGGATTCCCGAGAGAAGTCCAAGTATGTAAGGAGCAGCAAGAGCACCACACCAATAGTCATAGAGTCTAAAATGTTTTTTTTTTTCATTAGATATTCATTGGGATAAGAGAGCCAACACCTCGTGGAGATTCAGTCCTCCTTCATCAGGGCTTTTCTATTTTGTAACCCCAAAAATGGCTGCACTCCATTCGATTGTGATGATAGTTGTGTATATATCCACTTCAGCTCCGGAAGATTTTACCCCCTTCATGACCAGGGCAATTTTTGCTATTCGGCACTGTGCTACTTTAACTTCAGCTCTGGAAGATTTTACCCCCTTCATGACCAGGGTGATTTTTGCTATTCAGCACTGTGCTACTTTAACTGGCAATGTCATGCAACACTGTACCCACTTAAAAGGTATACCATTTTTTTCACACAAATAGAGCTTTCTTTAATGATATTTGATCACCACTGTTTTATATATACATATAAAACAGTATATATATATATATTTTAGGTACTTATATAGCGCTGTCAATTTATGCAGCACTTTACATATATATTGTACATTCACATCAGTCCCTAACCCTCAAGGGGCGTACAATCTAAGGTCCCTAACTTACATTCATATACAAGGGCCAATTTAGACAGGATCCAAGTAACCTACCAGCATGTCTTTGGAGTGTGGGAGGAAACCCACACAGGCACAGGGAGAACATGCAAACTCCAGGCAGGTGGTGCTGTGGCTGGGATTCAAACCAACGACCCGAGTACTGCCAGGTGGAAGTTCTAACCATTTAGCCACTGTGCTGTGTATATATATATATATATATATATATATTTATAAACACTGTATATGTAGTGTAAAAACACTATATATATATATAAAACACTGTTGTGTGTGTGTATGTATGTGTATATATATATATATATATATATATATATATATATATATATATATATATATATCCTGAAAAAAATAAAAAACAGAAACTGTTGACAAAAAAACCTTTATTCTATTTTCTGCTATAAAACACATCCGATAACAAAATCTAATTTCTTCATAAATTTAGGCCAAACTGTATTCTTCTACACAGCTTTGGTAAAAAAAAAATCCCAATAAGTGTATATTAATTTGATTGTGAAAATTATAACGTCTACAAACGATGGTGCATATACTGGAATTTGTATTTATTTATTTTTATACTAGTAATGGTGGTGATCAGCAACTTATAGTGGGACTGTGATAGTGCGATGGGCAATATGACACTAACTGATGCTGGGTGGGAACTGACTAACTGCCACTGACATCTCCAGTGACACTCATGCAGTGATCAGTGCCGATAGTAGACTCTGTCACCGTACTAATGACATTGACTGGGAAGGGGTTAACATCAAGGGGCAATCAAAGGGTTAACTTTGTGCCTAACAATGTGTAATGTGTGCTGCTTTTACTGCTAGATGTGACTGTTCCATCTCCCTGTTTGCAGGGAGAAAAAAACAGGCACATTGCTGATCTCCGCTCAGAGCCCTGTGCTGTTTGTCAACACTGTCATTCCCTAAGCTGATCAACAGCCATAAATCATTGGCTGGGACCTGCTGATCGGCTTGTGCTATAGCGAATGACAGCACAGAGGGGCGGCGGCCTCGAGTGCATCCCCTACGGATGAATGCCAGATCATGCACATCTATGTGATCTGGCATGGCGGGACTGCTCTGCTGCAGTAAAACTGTGGTAGACGCTCCACAAGTAGATATAATCAGATCCTACAACCTGCATGGCCTGTACAACATGGATTCCACGCTGCACAAACTGTTTGTCGTAGGATCCGATTATCTACATCGGTTCACTCTGTGCGGCTTCCACTGTGACTTGATGAGACTTTTATGTTATGTGACTTTGGCTTTGGTTAAAAACCCTCTGAAGTCAGATACTGTTGCGGGGCAGCACAGTGGCTAAATGGTTAGCACTTCCCCTGGCAGTACTCGGGTTGTTGGTTCAAATCCCAACCATGGCACCTCCTGCCTGGAGTTTGCATGTTCTCCCACAGTCCAAAGACATGCTGGTAGATTAATTGGCTCCTGTCTAAATTGTCCCTAGTATGTGTATGTATGAATGTGAGTTAGGGACCTTAGATTGTACGCCCCTTGAGGGTTAGGGACTGATGTGAATGTACACACATATTCTTGGTTCTTTCTACATGTTGGGGTATGTAGAGTATGTAGCACAGTGGCTGAGTGGTTAGCACCTGGCAGTACTAGGCTTGTTGGTTCAAATCCCAACCATGGCACCACCTGCCTGAAGATTTCATGTTCTCCCTGTGCCTGCGTGGGTTTCCTCTGGGTACTCCGGTTTCCTCTCACACTCCAAAGACATGCTGGTAGGTGAATTGGATCCTGTCTAAATTGGCCCTAGTATGTGTATGTATGAATGTGAGTTAGGGACCTTAGATTGTACGCCCCTTGAGGGTTAGGGACTGATGTGAATGTACAATATATATATGTAAAGTGCTGCGTAAATTGATGGCGCTATAACAGTACCTGAAATAAATAAATCGGAGTTCCATGGATTAAGACATTAAGACGGCACCCATTCAAATGAATATGTTTTAAGTTGTCATGTCACTTTGTGTCTCAAGTTGCATCAGGTTACATGATAAGTCACATCGTTGTGAATTGGGGCCAATAAAAAAAACTGTTTTGGGCTCATTGACCATTGATGTGGTGCTCTTACCGCTACATAAATGTTCAGTTTTTATTGTTGTCTATGTTCCCCCCGGGGAGATTCAGCCTCTCTGTTAGTCCTGGTGACCTTGCCGAGCACCCCACTGCATGCGTGTTCCAGACTGTTAGTGGGCACGTAATGAATGGTGGCCTCTCTTCTACCAGCCATGACTTTCTGTCCGCTCTATTACACTGCTCTCCATGCGGTGCCCCCCCCCCCCCCTTGGCCATATTGACCACAGCCAACACAAAAACCACACCATGCATGAGAAACTGCCCACCCCACCCTCAGCTTCTAGGAAGCATGCACAGTGCACCCTCCATGCCAACTATGGGCAGCCAGTGCATCGGAGGAGGGTAAAACGGAGAACAGGTATGCCAGAGCAGGCAGGGTGATATGCCCATCTAAAACATGTAGAAGGGGGCACCGTTCTGTAGTTTTGCCATGGGCGCTGGATGGCCCTGTCCAGTACTGCTTGTAATGTCTTGTTTTCCTTTATGGCTTTGTAATGGCCTTCAAAGCTTAACTCCAGGGACATTTCAAACGTACCTTTGCAATGGGACTACCCCTGTATTGCAAGGGTTAAATGCTTTTTTTTTTTTTGTCTAGGGTACCATTAAAAAGCAGTAAAACTGCTTCTTGTTCAGCTTTAATTGAGGTCTATGACTCAGGAATGGTCAGTGCTTGTTCAGCCACCCAGGCATGTATGACTGGAAGCCTGACCACAAATGAATATGGCTTCTGTTTCTTTGCCACATCAAAGGGTGAGGTCATACATTTAAAGGAAAACATAAAATTGATGGAGTATATTGATTTGTAGATTCTAAGATGGGCAATGGCTAAAAAACGGTGCATTCACAGCTTTGATTATGAATGAGAGAAGATGTCGGTATTGATATGTTAGAGAAGGATAACTGACCTAAAGTAAATCCAAGGCCATTTTCTTTAGACTTGGAAATCATTAGAGAATGGCTGAGGCTCTTGCAGGTCTCGGTCCTGTAGACGCAACAAGTAGTGAGAGGAGGACCCTCTTAGAGAAACACCCTCAGTGGAACATTTCCTTCCTCATCGACGAATCTTCTATAGAGAAAATGGTTCCATTGCGTCTTGTTCTTCTGTCATTTTAGGTACGACTCATTCACTGGCGTTCCCATCAGCCAACCCAACATCTCTCTCGAGAAAGCCAGCATTCTCTTCAACATCGGTGCCCTCTACACTCAGATCGGAACCCGCTGCAATAGGCAGACAAAGAGCGGCCTGGAGGAAGCAGTCACCATGTTCCAGAAAGCTGCAGGTAAGAAGATGGACATCATAAAGAAGTCAAACATGCTATGACTTTAATAGTAAATAGGATGATAAGAAGGAGGAATGGTTATGGAGTCCTACTGGTCAGTGTGGTTCTACCTGAGGGACACTGTGAGAAGATTATGGACAACTGACCATCACTCTTTTATGAGTTTGTTGGACATCCCATTCTAAAACCATGGCCATTAATATAGAGTTATCTCCCTTTGTAGCTATGCCATCCTTCTCTTTTCTGGGAGGCTTTTGGGTATATGTGGGAATTTGTGCCCATTTGTGAGGTCAGTTACTAATTAACACCAATTGGCGTTCTAATTCAACCCCAAAGTGTACAGTCAGGTTGAGGTCAAACCATATCTTTATGGAACTGGCTTTGTACACAGGGGCAAAGTCATGGTGGAAGAGCAAAGGGTCTTCACCAAAGGCTGGAAGAGCTGATGATGCATCATTAACAGGACCCTTCACAGGAGACACCTCATGTGGAGGGCTCATTCACGAGCTTTGCCCATGAAGTAGATGTGATTATCAGGTGTTCAAAAACTTTAGCCTAGGCCCCTAGGGCTATATATGGACTTTTTCTACACCGATCACAAAGTGATGTTTGGGTTGTTGTAGGGCTTCCCTAAGCCTTTCTAAAGTCTCATTCACACATGCAGCTATTTGTGCCATTCTATGTGGTGAGGACATATCAGAGGTGATATGTCGTCTACTTACTGCCTGTTTTAACCCCCAAATTTGCAGACCCACCTCACCACATGGCTTGCATTTGACAACGATAATGCTTGAGAGAGTGAAATGCCATTTAATCATTGCCGCAGCCAAGGAACAAAGCATTGTGGCCATGGAATGTGTGCAGCCCTGAGTGGCTTAGGTGGGTGGTCGGGAGTCATTAAAAACCATGTCTCATCCACTTGCTTTTACCGACCCCAGGCCACCCTGACAGTCAAAGAAAATCAACATCCTTTGTGATTTCCTATATCCTATCTCTCTCTATCCCCTATATCCCCTCTCTCTCTCTCTCTCTCTCTCTCTCTCCCTATCCCCTATACCCCCCCCTCTCTCTCCCCCCTCCCCCCCCCAATCTCTCTCTTTCTCTCTCTCTCTCTCTCTCTCTATACCCCCCCCTCTCTCTCTCTCTATTATTATTATACAGTATTTATAAAGCGCCAACAGTTCTCTCAGCGCTGTACATTACAAAGGGGGGACAGAACATGTGACAGAACAATACCAATACAATGCAAAACATGAGGGGATCGAGGGCCCTGCTCTTTCGAGCTTACAATCTATCCCCTATATCCTATCTCTCTCTCTCTCTCTATCTCCCTATATCCTCCTCCCTCTCCCCCCTCTCTCTCTCTCCCCCCTCTCTCTCCCCCCTTTCTCTCTCTCTCCATCCCCTACCCCCCCTCTCTCCCTATATCCTATCTCTCTCTCTATCCCCTATATCCCCTCTCTCTCTATCCCATATATCCCCCCCCCTCTCTCTATCCCCTATACTCCCCATCTCTCTATATCCCCTATATCCTATTTCTCCCTATCCCCTATATCCTCTCTCTCTCTATCCCCTATATCCCCCCCCCCTCTCTCTCTCTCCTATATCCCATCTCTCTCTCCATCCCCTATATCCCCCCTCTCTCTATCCCCTATACCCCCTCTCTCTCTATCCCCTATACCCCCCCCTCTCTATCCTCTATACCCCCCCCCTCTCTATCCCTATACCCCCCCCCTCTCTATCCCTATACCCCCCCCCTCTCTATCCCCTATACCCCCCCCTCTCTCTCCCCTATATCCCATCTCTCTGTCTCCATCCCCTATATCCCCTCTCTCTCTATCCCCTATACCCCCCTCTCTCTCCCCATATATCCTATCTCTCTCTCCATCCCATATACCCCCCTCTCTCTCCCCTATACCCCCCCCTCTCTCTCTCTCACTGTCTATCTACCCCCTATCTCTCTCTCTCTATCCCCTATACCCCCCCTCTCTGTCTATCTATCTATCTATCTATCTATCTATCTATCTATCTATCTATCTATCTATCATCTCTATTCTGCATTGATTCATCTCTGTATTTGGGGTTTCCCTACTGGGTGAGGATTGCCCCTCCATCGGTAATACTGGTGTGAACTCTTCCTAACCCTAGGTTCACACCGAAGCACTTTCAGGTGCCTTTTTTTAATGCAAAATGTGTTTTTTTTGGTTCTATAGACTTCAATGGAAATGCTGCAGAAAAGCATGTGTTGTGTTTTTGATGCGTTTTTGTTTTTAAAATCTGCCTAGCAACAAGAATAAAAAAAAAAACTAAATGTGGCAAAACCGCAAGTGCAAAAACCACAATGCAGAAACGCACAAAACGCAACCTGCATAGGTGTGGACCTAGGGATATGGGGTCACTCTGAGAGCCCCCGCATTACCATTTCTAAAAAGAACAAATGATTAGTTTCAGAAATTTTTGGGAATTCAGACAATGAAGTTTATCATCTGCAGAGTGTTGTATTTATTGTGGAAGCTGGTTAATGAATCATGGAGGGACCTTTGTACCGACTGCTGATCTCCTCCTCTTCTGCCATCTCCCGGCTTCCAGCAGCAGACAACCTGAACTACTAGTGACCTTCATGTGAAACTATGTGTGCCATACAACATACATGACAAGACTAAAGGGGCGTGTTTACAAAGCAATGTATCTGACATTCTGTGCAGGAGAATCTCCCAGGTACTTGTGTTTTCAATGACAGTGATTCTCCACCAGAGAATATTTGGTGAAGGTCAAATTCCCTGCCTTAAGCTCGGGTTCACACTGATGCAGTGCGGAATTTGCACCGGTTTCTGTCCGATTTCGCTCCGCATTATAACCGCACAACGTTCATACGAACCACTGCGGGTGTTTATTATAAGTTAACGAAACCCTGAAATCAGTTCGCAAAACACGTGCAGAATCGGATCACATCGGTGTAAACAACCATGCGATCCAATTCTGGTGCGAACTAAAAAAAGGGTCCTGCACTTTTTGGCTGCGGATGCGGTGCGATTTGAGCCATACAAAATGTATGTCTCAAATTGCACCACACAGAAATTGCATGTGATTTGCAGAGAGGAATGCAGTGCGGTTCCTGTGCGAATCATGTGCGATGTGCCGTACCACATCAGTGTGAACCCGCACAGAAATCGCATCTGATTTGCAGAGGAATGCGGTGCGGTTCCTGTATGAATCATATGCGATGTGCCACACCGCATCACTGTGCCCGCACAGAAATGTACCACACCCGCATCAGTGTGATCCCGCACAGAAATGTACCACACCGCATCAGTGTGATCCCGCACAGAAATGTACCACACCGCATCAGTGTGATCCCGCACAGAAATGTGCCACACCGCATCAGTGTGATCCCGCACAGAAATGTGCCAACCGCATCAGTGTGATCCCGCACAGAAATGTGCCGCACCGCATCAGTGTGATCCCGCACAGAAATGTGCCACACCGCATCAGTGTGATCCCGCACAGAAATGTGCCGCACCGCATCAGTGTGATCCCGCACAGAAATGTGCCGCACCGCAAATGTGATCCCGCACAGAAATGTGCCGCACCGCATCAGTGTAATCCCGCACAGAAATCACATCTGATTTGCAGAGGAATGCGGTGCGGTTCCTGTACGAATCACATGCGATGTGCCGCACCACATCAGTGTGAATCCCGCACAGAAATCACATCTGATTTGCAGAGGAATGCGGTGCGGTTCCTGTGCGAATCATATGCGATGTGCCGCACCACATCAGTGTGATCCCGCACAGAAATCACATCTGATTTGCAGAGGAATGCGGTGCGGTTCCTGTACGAATCATATGCGATGTGCCGCACCACATTAGTGTGATTCCGCACAGAAATCGCATCTGATTTACAGAGGAATGCGGTGCGGTTCCTGTACGAATCATATGCGATGTGCCGCACCGCATTAGTGTGATTCCGCACAGAAATCACATCTGATTTGCAGAGGAATGCGGTGCGGTTCCTGTACAAATCATATGCGATGTGCCGCACCGCATCGGTGTGAACCCGGGCTAAAAGTTTACATATAAAAAAAAAAAACTGCTGTGCTAATCTTCGCACAGTCATCACATATTTATTTATTTCAGGTACTTATATAGCGCCGTCAATTTATGCAGCACTTTACATATATATTGTACATTCACATCAGTCCCTAACCCTCAAGGGGTGTACAATCTAAGGTCCCTAACTCACATTCATATACTAGGGACAATTGGATGAATGTTTTTCATTTATTTAAAATAAAGAACATACAGCATTTGGCAACTAGATGGCACTTGATATTCTAGAAATTGATACTTAGCGCCATCTATTGGCCAAATGCGGTACTTTCCCATTTTAAATCATTGAAATACAGTTGTCCAGCACAGGAAATAGCCTAGTAACATTCAGGGGCGGACTGACCATTTGGAAACTCGGGCACTGCCCGAGGGCCCAAGGGCCCGGGGTCAGTAGGGGGCCCCATGAGATGCCCCTGGTACCTTTTTCATAGGCTTTTTTGAGTTTGGGCAAGGACACAGGAACCCCATGATCCCCTATTGCCCAGGGGCCCCATGAGTTGTCAGTCTGGCCCTGGTAACATTTGTTTTGTTTTTTTTTTTCTCAATTCACACATAATGAATCTATGTGTAGTCTCACAGGACGAATAGCTGTGCAGATTTTCTTACTCCAGTTAGAGTTTACATCAACTTGGGGAAAGTGACACTAAATAAACAGGTGACATTCTGTAATCAGACAGTGTGGTGATGGATTGAAAACTTTGCGCCCGTCCTGTTAGTTTTGTGTCGCTGGCTGAGTCTCTGTGACTTGCCGGACCGGTTGCAGTAAAAGTCCTGGAACTGGTTGGTGTTTACACTGCGTGTTTGTGGCAACTGAACTACGTGCCGCTATGGAAGACGGTCTGATAATGGAGAGATACCAGAATGTACGGCCTGTTTGGTTCCTATAATGAAAAATGCACAGATTGCCATCGGTCAACAAGCAAAGACCACTAACGTTTGTTGACTTGTTGAGTACGCCACTGAAACCATATTTATATTCTCTGCCCACAATCCCCTACACACCAGTAATCAGACTGAGAGTCGGAGGTTCTGCACCAGTGGTTCCCAATCACAGGGCCATGACCTTATGTTGGGCTGGGGCTTCTTTTCTTCCACGTCTTCTGCTCACTGCAGATCCCCTAGCCTACCACAGTGCCTCCCACCTCCCATAGTGCTTCCAACATTCCATAGTTGTCCACAGTGTATTTCAACTCCCTACAGTGACCACAGGTACCCCTGAGAGCCCTCAACACCCATGGTGCCCTCAAACCTTCCACAGGACCTCCCAACCTGTTGCAGAGCCTCCATCCTCCCAACTTTCCACAGTGCCTTTTAGCCCAAGCAGTGGCCCTATCTCATACAGTGCTTCTCAACCCCCCACAGTGCCCCTAAGCCCACTGACAGCCCTCTACTTATTATTATTATTATTACTACGAGTTTATATAGCGCCAAAGGGTTTGCTCAGCGCTGTACAATAGGGGGGACAATACATGGCACAGTACAACAACAACAAACAATGTACGAGGGGTAAGAGGGCCCTACTCTTACGAGCTTACAATCTAGGAGGGAGGGGGTAAAAGGTACAGTAGGAAGTGTCTGAGGGGGATGAAGTGGTGGGAGGAATGAGGGAGGATGGCCGTTAGGTGAGGGTGGGGTAGGCTTCCCTGAAGAGATGGGTTTTGAGGGAGCGCCTGAATGTGAATAGGGAAGGCGACAGTCTGATGGATTGGGGCAGTGAGTTCCAGAGGATGGGGGAGGACCTGGAGAAGTCCTGCATAGTGCATGGGAGGAGGAGACCAGGGAGCAGGATAGAAGGGGTCCTGTGAGGAGCGAAGGGTATAAGGTTGGTGAGGTAGTCAGGGGCAGTGTTGTGTACGCTTTGTAGGTCAGGGTTAGGAGTTTAAATTTGATGCGTTGGGCAATCGGGAGCCATAGGGAGAGGCAGAGGGGGGTGGCAGAGGTGGAGCGGGTGGTGAGGTGGATGAGTCTGGCAGCTGAGTTCAGGATGGTCTGGAGCGGGGAGAGCCTGCACTTGGGTAGGCCAGTGAGGAGAGAGTTGCAGTAGTCAAGGTGTGAGATGATGAGGGAGTGTACTAGAAGTTTGGTGGTGTCTGGGGTGAGGAAGGAGCGTATCTTGGCAATGTTGCGAAGATGGAGCCTGCATGTGTTTGTGAGTGATTTGGGACAGTACCGCCCAACCACTGCAGAGCCTCCATCCTCCCAACGTTCCACAGTGCCTCTAAATGCAGGGTCCGGGGAGAGCAGATATAGTGAATGCAGGGTCCGGGGAGAGCAGATATAGTGAATGCAGGGCCGGGGAGACCAGATATAGTGAATGCGGGGGGGAGACCAGATATAGTGAATGCGGGGTCCAGGGAGACCAGATATAGTGAATGCAGAGTCCGGGGAGACCAGATATAGTGAATGCAGGGTCCGGGGAGACCAGATATAGTGAATGCGGGATCCGGGGAGACCAGGTATAGTGAATGCAGGGTCCGGGAGACCACATATAGTGAATGCTGGGTCTGAGGAGACCGGATATAGTGAATGCAGGGTCCGGGAGACCACATATAGTGAATGCAGGGTCTGGTGTTTAGTAACACTTTAAGGGGTGTATAAGTAAGTATAGCAGTGTGGTTGTGGGAAGATGTGGTAGCCTACACCTGCTTAGGAGTGTGGGAGCAAAGGGGTCTGCAATTAATATATAATTAGTACATTGCATTTTTTTTAAATGCAAGCAGTGAAAGTACCTAAATTCACCTTGGTATCTACATTTTGCAATCCTTGTACAGCAGAGCTCAGAGAGGGGAAGGGGGAAGCAGCACAAGAAGCCAACCAGGTGTGCTGCAGTGTATGGAGAATACTGATAGGAAGAGATAGCCGAGTGAGAGAGAAATGAGCTCATTGGTCAACTGCTTCTCCTTTTACTGTTCAGTCACGGTCTGGGGGGTGAAGAGGAGACCTGCAAGTAAAAGTGAATGAATGATCTAAATCACGGGTGTCAAACTGGCGGCCCTCCAGCTGTTGCCAAACTACAAGTCCCATGAGGCATTGCAAGATTGGCCGTTACAAGCATGACTTCTAAAGGTAAAGGCACGATGGGACTTGTAGTTTTGCATCAGCTGGAGGGCCGCCAGTTTCGACGGCTCTGATCTAAATGATCCATATATCCCTTTTAAAAGCATGGATTTCAGTGAAAAGTATATTGGCTTTACCGTTTCTATTATTTTGTCATTCAGATGGGACAAGTTTACCACAGTCTCCTTTCCTTCTCTTCCAGGAGTTCTCACCTACCTAAAGGAGACCTTCACACACACCCCCAGCTATGACATGAGTCCCGCCATGTTGAGTGCCCTCATTAAAATGCTGCTGGCAGAAGCTCAGGAGTGTAACTTCGAGCAGATGATCCTGTCCGGGGTCCAGAACGAATTCTGCACTTTGGCCAAAGTGGCGCAAGAGGCAGCAAAGGTATTTATCAGATTATGAAAAAAATATAGAGGTGGATTTATGAAAAGATTTGCATTGCTGTTCATTGAAACTGCATTTATATTTGTTTTTTGCGAATGGGGCAAAATCAAATGTTCTGAGGCTATAGTCTGAATATTGTGCGATTGCAGAAAACTGCACATTATGACCAGTAGATGACGCTGAGGAGCATACTTCTCTCCTATAATAGTCAGTGCCATGTAGTAGCTGTAATATGGTATTGTCCCTACTCACAATATAGCCTGAGAATGTTCAATTTGGCCCTGTTTGCACAGAATCATTTCAGTTGTGTCTGGTTCTTGGCAAGCCCGTTGGCCAACTCTCTCCACATTTTCCAATCATGTATGGCTTTTTTATAGGTGCTTCATGTCCTGTCTGGTATCTGCTTTTATGGCACCCAGCCATCAGGCTCTTTGGCAGCCTGGCTTCCTTTTCGCCCACTAATCAGTGCGAACATAATTGCCTTCCCCAATGAGTCTGATCACATGATATGTTGAATCTTGAAATCCAGTGAAATGCCTGTATTTACTTATTTGCTATCTTAGGGTCATTGGTTCGAATCCCAACCACGGCACCACCTGCCTGGAGTTTGCATGTTCTCCCTGTGCCTGCATGGATTTCCTCTGGGTAATTGTCCCTAGTATGTGTATGTATGAACGTGAGTTAGGGACCTTAGATTGTACACCCCTTGAGGGTTAGGGACTGATGTGAATGTACAATACATATGTGTGTACTGCTAAAGGCTTTTCTTTTTCCTTGGGTGAGTGCATGTGATCAGCATAGGGCCAATCAGCACTGTCCAGACAGAGGGTCAGGAAGTTCACATTCTCCTAGAGCAGAAAGAAAACTCCTCCTACAACCTTTAACCAGTGCTCTGCTGAAGTCACTAGACTGCTATATACTGCTGATGAGAAAAGGTATTTAGCAGTTTATATTTACTAAAATAATTGCATTTCCATGTTCTGTGTACTGTGGGAGACCAGATATAGTGAATGCAGGGTCCGGGGAGACCAGATATAGTGAATGCAGGGTCCGGGGAGACTAGATATAGTGAATGCAGGGTCTGGGGAGACCGGATATAGTGAATGCAGGGTCCGGGGAGACCGGATATAGTGAATGCAGGGTCCGGGGAGACCAGATATAGTGAATGCAGGGTCCGCGGAGAGCAGATATAGTGAATGCAGGGTCCGGGGAGACCAGATCTAGTGAATGCAGGGTCCGTGGAGACCAGATCTAGTGAATGCAGGGTCCAGGGGAGACCAGATCTAGTGAATGCAGGGTCCGGGGAGACCAGATATAGTGAATGCAGGGTCCGGGAGACCAGATCTAGTGAATGCAGGGTCTGGGGAGACCAGATATAGTGAATGCAGGGTCCAGGGAGATGAGATCTAGTGAATGCAGGGTCCAGGGAGACCAGATCTAGTGAATGCAGGGTCTGGGGAGACCAGATATAGTGAATGCAGGGTCCAGGGAGATGAGATCTAGTGAATGCAGGGTCCGGGGAGACCAGATACAGTGAATGCAGGGTCCGGGGAGACCAGATCTAGTGAATGCAGGGTCCGGGGAGACCAGATCTAGTGAATGCAGGGTCCGGGGAGACCGGATATAGTGAATGCAGGGTCCAGGGAGACCAGATCTAGTGAATGCAGGGTCCAGGGTTTAGTAACACTTTAATGTCTCCATTCCTTGTAGTGGTCATGATCTTGGTCATTTTGATGTTCAAAGAGAGGCCAAACTTTTCACATTCTTTAGAGAGGAGGGTTGGGTTATCAGCAGATTGAAGATTATCAATGTTCCTTCTTGCAGTCTTTAATCCGCGTTTTGATTCTTCAAGCTCCAGTTTACTCATGATCTTTTCTGCATAGTGTGCCGTAGTCATGATCTTGGTCTTTTTAATGTCCAAGAAGAGGTCAAACTTCTATATGTCTTCTTTGAACCCTTAGTTTAGAAATTTCAGACTGTCTTCGGTTTCTGAGAGGAGGGTTGGGTGAAATCATTAGCATATTGAAGATTATTGTTCCTTTCTCCAATCTTTACTTCACTTTTTGATTCTTTCAGCTCCATGTTCCTCATAATCATTTCAGTATATAGGTTGAACAGAAAAAGATTGAAACCCTGGCACACTCAGTTCTCTATCTTGAACCAGTTAGTGTCCATATATTGTGTTCGCATAGTGGCTTGTGTAGCAACTTGCGTAGATGTGTTGGCACTATCAGCTCTTGTAGGGTTCTTCATAACTTGGTGTGATTGACCCACTTGAACACTTTCTTGTAGCCGATGAAGAATATGTGGAAGTTCTTTTGAAATGTATACTTACCCGAATCCTGTGGCCTGCCGCAACCTTCATATCTCATGGCCAAGGTTTCATTTCCATTGGCTGCGCCCATGCAGGAAATCCCCATAGACTTATCCTTAAACATCTCTTGGAAAACATTCTTGTAATGAAGGAAGCACATATGGACATTCTTTTGAAATCCTGCACACATTCAATATTCTCACCATCAACTTTAGTTTTGACGTGTCCATCCCTTACAGTGGTCATAATCTTGGTCTTGTAGATGTTCAAGAAGAGATCAAACGTCTTGCTTTCTTCTTTGATTCTTTTGATCAGTTCTTTCAGGCCTTCTTTGGTTCCTGAGAGGAGGGTCGGGTTGAGACTTTAGCATATCAAAGATTTTCAATGTTCTTTTCTCCAGTTTTTGATTCTGCAAGCTCCAGCTTCTTCATGGTCATTTCTGCATATAAGTTGGACAAGAAAGGAGAATGTATGCAACCTTGCTGCACCCCTTCTCCATGTTGACCCAATCAGTGTATAATCAATTAACCAAGTGTCCAATAAATCAATCTATGATTGATTTCGCTCAGTGGCTTCTTGCTTTGTGCACAGCAACTGTACCAATATGACTAGATGTGTTGGCACCACCATCTCTTGTAAGGTTCTCCATAACTTATTGTGACTGACACAGTCGAAAGCTTTCTTGTAGTCAACGAAGAATATGTAGATGTTCTTTTGAAATGTATATTTACCTAAATAGCCTGCCGTATTCTTCATGCGTATCTTACAACCAAAGTCTATTTTCCACTGGCCGCACCTATGCTGTCAATCACAGACTTATTCTTAAACATCTCTTGGAAATCTAGTTTTTATGGATCTGTTAGAATATAAATGACGGAATGTTTTGACATTTCACAGTAGCCAACACTTGACTGATGTACGCATGCACGTAGATCAAATATATCTCTAGTTATCAGTTAATGATCTCCTGGTTATTGCTGCTGGAACTTTGTGTACATTATTATATTATTATTATTATACAGTATTTATAAAGCGCCAATAGTTCGCTCAGCGCTGTACATTACAAAGGGGGACAGAACATGTGACAGAACAATACCAATACAATGCAAAACATGAGGGGATCGAGGGCCCTGCTCTTTCGAGCTTACAATCTAGGAGGGAGGGGATGGTGGCACAGGAGGAGATGTGGGGGATGGAGTGGTAGGAAGAGTGGAGGAGGTCGGCAAGTTAGCAGGGGGTGGGGTAGGCTTCCCTGAAGAGATGGGTTTTCAGGGTGCGCCTAAAGGAGAGGAGAGTAGGTGATAATCTGATGGGTTGGGGCAGGGAGTTCCAGAGGATGGGTGACACCCTGGAGAAGTCCTGGAGGTGGGCATGGGAGGAGGAGACCAGGGAACTAGAGAGAAGGAGGTCTTGTGAGGAGCGGAGTGTGCGTGTTGGGTGGTACTTGGATATTAGGTCGGTGATGTAGTTCGGGGCAGTATGGTGGACAGCTTTGTACGTCAGTGTTAGGATTTTGAATTTGATCCGTTGGGCAATCGGAAGCCAGTGGAGGGATTGGCAGAGGGGGGTGGCGGAGATGGAGCGGCTGGAAAGGTGAATGAGTCTGGCAGCCGTATTCAGGATCGACTGAAGCGAGGATAGCCTGTGGTGAGGCAGGCCAGTGAGGAGGGAGTTGCAGTAGTCGAGTCGTGATATGATGAGGGAGTGGATGAGCTGTTTTTAGTGGTTTCTGGGGTTAGGAACGTGCGTATTTTGGCGAAGTTGCGGAGGTGGAGTCTGCATGAGTTAGTTGAAGATTGGACTTGGGGCTGGAAGGATAGGATGGAGTCCAGAATGACACCAAGTACTCTGGCCTGCGGGGTGGGTTTGATGGTAGCGTACATAAGAATTTAACCCAATTCTGCGCAGATTAGTGATCTCTGACCTTTCTCAAAATGGCAACAGAAGCTCGGAAAAGCTTGCAGTATCCTCAGAGCTTCTTTTTAAAGAACCAGTAAACTGAAAAAAGTTGTTTTATGTAGAAGAACTGCTTTAGGGCTCATGTACACGGGGCGTTTGGAAAACTCTTCTGAACGATGGAAAATGACTGCTGGAAAACGTATGTTAAAAAACGTCAGTTTAGAAGCGTTTGCATTTATAAGCGGTTTTAAAAGATAACTTCAGGAGATCTTCCCAAATGCCCAGAATGCAGTGAAAAATTGTAAATCATTAACTATTTCAGACATTTTGAGGAATAGAGAGAGCAGAAGCAGAGAGAGCAGTATGTGTTGAGATGACCTGTCTTTTCTGGTTGTATTCACTATGGATCCCATCATGAGCATAATGCGGCGCGTTCTACCATTGTTTCCTTTACGCGAAACCTGGAACTGACTGCGCTGGTGTACCGGGTCCATTTGAATACATGGAAAACGCTTCGCATGCATTTCTGATGATGAAAAAAGGCTCCGGACAGCATCTGGACATGGAACAGTTAAAAAACTCTTCTGAACACAAACTCTTATAAATGCGGTTAACCATGTTTACAAGCGCTTGAAATGCTGATAAAATCTACTCCTGAACGCAAGTTTGGTGCGTTCAAAAAAAACAACTGTAAACTCAACTGCCTGTAAAAGACGATGTGTACATGGACACATAGGAGAACATTAGGGAGAGTTCAGGAGCTGCTGAAAAAAAAAAAACGCAGAACAGCTCCTGAACGTCAGTTTATCAGCTGCAGTGTACATGAACCCTTAGAACCTTTAAAGATATAAAAGTCCCACATCTGTACAGCAATTGAAATGATTGCCATTTTCCTAAGTATGCTGCTTGGTGTGCTGGTCCATGTTAGTGTCCATCATGGGCGAAGAGTGGCTTAGAAGTGCCGCTTTACAACATTCATCTATCAAGTCAGCTCTTCCCATAATGTCATCTCATGTAGTGCTCTTGTGATCTGATTGATGTTCAAGTATTTCTGCTTGTTTTGCGTGCAGGTCAGTGAGGTTCACATGCAAGTGTACAAAGCCATGAACCAGGCTCCCATCAAGGAGAACATGCCCTACTCCTGGTCCGTCATGGTGCAAGTAAAAGCTGAACATTACAAAGCACTGGCTAACTATTTCGTGGCGATCGTGCTCATCGAACATCAGTGTGAGTATTCACAGGATGAAGGGTACAAATATATTCCGTCAAGCATCAGGGTCTGGCTTTATCTGCCCGTTTGCAGCATGTATCTGTATGACTGTAAGCTCTGAGGAAGAGGGTTACCCTCGAAACGCGTCAGCCTTGGTCCCTACACAGCACCTCTCAGGTGTTTTGGGTTCTACCACACAGTACTAAGCCATTGCTACCTGTTAAGTGCATGGTCACATATTATTTGTGAGTATGAATTTATTTACATTTTAATAAAAGTTTTTTGGGATGATGCACTAGGCTGGTGCGCTCTCTTTTTTTTTTTACAGTCATGACTGTAAGCTCCTCAGGGGCGGAGTCTGATGTGAATAGCAATGTACAAGGCAGTAGCTAGGCAGTACTAGGGTCATTGGTTCAAATCCCAACCAGGACACCACCTGCCTGGAGTTTGCATGTTCTCCCTGTGCCTGCGTGGGTTTCCTCTGGGTACTCCGGTTTCCTCCCGAACTCCAAAGACATGCTGGTAGGTGAATTGGTTCCTGTCTACAGTAAATTGGCCCTAGTATGTGTATGTATGGATGTGAGTTAGGGACCTTAGATTGTACACCCCTTGAGGGTTAGGGACTGATGTGAATGTACAATATATATGTAAAGTGCTGTGTAAATTGACGGCGCTATATAAGTACCTGAAATAAATAAACACAGCACTGCAGAATATATTGCTGCTATTTAAAGTGATTCTGAAGGGCTAAATTAAAAACAAACAAACATGTCTATCCTTATTTGCTGTGTTTAGTGGTTTTACACAGAGAAGTCCAGATCCTCCTCTTCTCAGGTCCCCCGCCAGCACTCCTGGCCCTTCCCACCTGTCGGGTGCCCCCGCGTCAAGCAGCTTGCTGTGGGTTCACCCGAGCATGCGCACTCCCCCAGCCGCTGCTCCATGTGTCCATTCACAGACACAGCCGCAGCTCTATCCCGCCCCCTCTCTCTTTTCATTGGCTGACTGGCTGTGAATGACAGTAGCGGGAGCCAATGGCTCCTGCTGCTGTCTCAGCCAATGAGGAGAGGTAGTACTCCAGTGCACACCTTTGGATCAAATGGGGGCTTAGGTGAGTATTGTGGGGGCTGGGGGGTATGCTGCACAGAGAAGGTTTTTTACCTTCGTGCATAGAATGTACGAAGGTAAAAAAACCTTGAGCTTTTACAACCACTTTAAGTAAAATGCATAACATTTGGGGTGTGTTTATAGAAAAAAAAATTGCAGAGCTATTTGGTCAAACTGCATGTACGTTCATCCTGTGCAAATGAGGACTAAATTAAATGTTAGTGATTTTCCCTCCAGGTTGAATGCTATTTATTCATACGGAATGGAGTGAATCAGGAAAATACTGCATCGTGGCCACTGCGTGGAGCCAATGATCATTGGAAATAAATATTTATGATGATCATCAGCACCATCTGGTGGCCATAATGGAGTATCCTTCCGATTCCTTCTATTCTGTATGAATAAATAGCATCAACCTGGAGAGAAAATGGTCAAATAGCATTCCATTTTGCTACCCTTCACACATAATGAATGTACATGTAGTTTCAGAGGTTGAGTAGGTCTATAAATATATTATAAATACTACTCTTTTTTTTTAGTAGTCATTTAGAGTATTCAGATGTTGTCATATAAAATACTTTACAATAACCGGCTTGCAGTATGTATCTGTATGACCGTAAGCTCCTCAGGGGCGGAGTCTGATGTCAATAGCTCTCTACAGCACTGCAGAATATGTTGGCACTATCTGAGAAAGTATCTAACACTTATTGATGTCACATAAAATACTTTACAATAATCGGCTTGCAGTATGTATCTGTATGACTGTAGGCTCCTCAGGGGTGGAGTCTGATGTCAATAGCTTTCTACAGCACTGCAGAATATGTTGGCACTATCTGAGAAAGTACTTAACACTTATTGATGTTGTCACATAAAATACTTTACAATAATCGGCTTGCAGTATGTATCTGTATGACCGTAAGCTCATCAGGGGCAGAGTCTGATGTCAATAGCTCTCTGCAGCACTGCAGAATATGTTTGCGCTGTCTGAAAAAGTACCTAACACTTATCATACTAGTCGTTAGATTTTTCAGATGTTGTCATATAAAATACTTTACAATAATCAGCTTGCAGTATGTATCTGTATGACCGTAAGCTCCTCAGGGGCGGAGTCTGATGTCAATAGCTCTCTACAGCACTGTAGAATATGTTGGCGCTATCTGAGAAAATACCTAACACTTACTGATGTCACATAAAATACTTTACAATAATCGGCTTGAAGTATGTATCTGTATGACTGTAAGCTCCTCAGGGGCGGAGTCTGATGTCAATAGCTCTCTACAACGCTGCAGAATATGTTGGCGCTATCTGAGAAAATACCTAACACTGATTTTACTAGTCATTAGATTTTTCAGATGCTGTCATATAACCATCTCATTCTGTGCCACAGTGGGTCCACACGATGATGAAGACAAGCAGGAGAAGGCCCTGTCCCAGCTCTATGACCACATACCAGAAGGACTAACTGCCATGAAAATACTTAAAGACAAACAGCAGAGGACACAGCTAGGTATCCATGACTCATGACTTGCTTTTGGTTGCAGCAGAGCGCCTGGGAAATATAAAGACACGACTCCCTTACACCCGGGCCCTCTAGCTGCAGGACATTTTAATGCACCCGGGAGGAACAAATGCAGCATCCAACCCTGGAGCCTGTCAAAGCCTATGGCAGGCAGCAGTGGGAAGTGGCTGAACACTGTACCAGGTGGTACCCGCATTTAGGGCCCCTAAGAATTCAGGGTCACTGAAGCAAGGGCCCAGAATGCAAAAGATCTCGTCAGTCTGCTCTTTCATGTTCCATGACCTAACAAGAGGATTAAAGGGGAGTTCCAGCTGGAAAAAAAAAAAAAGTCAGCAGCTACAAAAACTGTAGCTGCTGACTTTTAAAATACAGACACTCACCTGTCCCTCGGTCCAGCGGTGTCCTCACCATGGCTGGTTTCACCGGCCGTCTTCTCTCCCTGGTGCCGCCATCTTCAGTGTGGGCACCCGGCTGTGACAGCTTACGGCTTCACAGCCAGGTTCCCACTGCGCATGCTCGAGAAGCGCTGAGCTTTGTGAATGGCCCCATAGTCTTCTAGGACCTGTCACGTGTCCCAGAAGACTACAGGGAGGGAGGGGGGGAGGACAACTTCCACTTCTGATTGCTTAGGCAATCACAGCGGACGTGGGAGCGGGTACTTGTCAAATCAGGTACCCGCTCCCCAAAGGTGCCAATCCTTAATGGGGAGCGGGGGACAAAGCATTAGAGCGGAACTTCCCCTTTTGGGTGGAACTCCGCTTTAAGGCTTTAAAAAATATTACTGGAGCTAAATTCCAAAGCAAAATGTCTAGCAAATAATTTCTTATAAAGAATTCAGTTGGTGTAATTCCACAGCCTATAAGCCTCTTTATACCTAATGTACATACAGTATATTCAACTGCACCGTTCAGTGGTCAATATATATATATACTGTATATAGTGTGTATTGTATTATATGTTCCTTTAGGGATATTGCAATATATGCTGATACTGCTGTATTAGAACATATACACTATATTGCCAAAAGTATTGGCCCCGCCCTCCAAATCATGTGATTCAGGTGTTCCAATCCCCTCCATGGACACAGGTGTATACAATCAAGCCCCTAGGCATGCAGACTGCTTCTACAAACATTGGTGAAAGAATGGGTCGCTCTCAGGAGCTCAGTGACTCCAAGCGTGGTCCCGTGATAGGTTGTCACCTGTGCAATAAGTCCATCCGTGACATTTTCTGGCTACTAAATATTCCACGCTCAACTGTTAGTGGGATTATAACAAAGTGGAAGCAACTGGGAACAACAGCAACTCAGTCACCAAGTGGTAGGCCACGTCACATGACAGGGCGGGGTCAGCGCATGCTGAAGCGCACAGTGCGCAGAAGTCGCCAACTGTCTGCAGAGTCAATAGCTAAAGAACTCCAAACTTGGTGTGGCCTTCAGATTAGCACAGCAACAGTGTGTAGAGAGCTTCATGGAATGGGTTTCCATGGCCGAGCAGCTGCATCCAAGCCTTACATCACCAAGTGCAATGCAAAGCGTCGGATGTCGTGGTGTAAAGCACGCCGCCACTGGACTCTAGAGCAGTGGAGACGTGTTCTCTGGAGTGACCAATTGCTTCCCTGGGAATCCGATGGACGTGTCTGGGTTTGGCGGTTGCCAGGAGAATGGTACTTCCCTGACTGCATTGTGCCAAGTGTAAAGTTTGGTGGAGGGAGGATTATGATGTGGGGTTGTTTTTCAGGGGTTGGGCTTGGCCCCCTAGTTCCAGTGAAGGGAACTCTTAAGGTGTCAGCATACCAAGACATTTTGGACAATTTCATGCTCCCAACTTTGTGGGAAGAGTTTGGGGATGGCCCCTTCCTGTTCCAACATGACTGCACACCAGTGCACAAAGCAAGGTCCATAAAGACATGGAGGAACCAGTTTGGGGTGGAGGAACTTGACTGGCCTGCACAGAGTCCTGACCTCAATCCCATAGAACACCTTTGGGATGAATTAGAGTGGAGACTGTGAGCCAGGCCTCCTCCCCCGACATCAGTTCCTGACCTGACAAATGTGCTTCTGGAAGAATGGTCCAACCTTCCCATAGACACCCTCCTAAACCTTGTGGACGGCCTTCCCAGAAAAGTTGAAGCTGTTATAGCTGCAAAGGGCGGGGCCAACTCAATATTGAACCCTACGGACTAAGACTGGGAGGCCATTAAAGTTCATGTGTGTGGAAAGGCCGGCCGACCAATACTTTTGGTAATATAGTGTATGTTATATGTTGCTTTTGGGCTGTTGAATAGGCAGAATATTTGATCTGTTTTGAACACCATAGAAGTAATATTGGCACCTTGTATTACTTGGTATATTATGCAGTCTAGAGGTATTTATACTGTATGCCGCTGAACTACTCCAATTGAGCTCCCAATAAAAAATGATGTTGCTCATGTTCTAACAAGGGGCATGCTGATAGAAGAAGAGAGCAGAGTAATAGGGAGATGAGCTCATCAGTCTGCTGCTTCTCCTTTCACTGTCCAGTCACAGGCTGGGCAAAGGACAAGACCTGTAAGTGTTACTGAACTGTGCTGTAGCAGATCAAAAATCAGGTCTCCTGCCTTGCCAGACTGTGGCAGAGCTGTGTAAATCTCAGGACTGGATGGACCACACTACAAAATAAATGTAAATCTGACTGATCTGTATTTTATCAATGTATTCAGCTGTTTTACCTGCTTTCCCAAGCACCCAGTGTGATGTGTAGTCATTGCCCGGATAGTGTTCTGTCATCGTTCCGTACAGCCATCCCACCCCGTGTCACAGAGTGTTGATGTTGCCTCGGCCGCACCCAGTCCACAGGACATAACTGACATTCCTGTCTGCTCTGTCACAATGAAAGCGGCTCAGCTAAAATGACATTGCAGAGCGCCGGCCATCACGCAAAGTCCATGAGAAAGAAGAAACCTATTGTCTACAGACACGTCCCCCCCCCCCCCCCCGTGTACATCCGAGTCGTTCCGGAGTTTCATTCTTGTCACTGTTTTTCCTGTCCTGTGTAGGGAAGGCGCATCTGTCCAAAGCGCTCGTGTGCCACGAGGAGGCCCTCCGACTCTCCAGTCTCTGCAGCCAGCTGAAGCAGATCGACGTCTTGCAGGAGATACTATCTGCTTTCCACAAGAGGGCGCTGCTGAAATTCACGCAGCACCAGAAGGAAGACGACTTTCTGAATTTACTGGTGGCCCCCGAAATTATCGGTAAGCACGGGCGATTGGCGCTCGGGTCAACCCTTGTTTATAGGGCATCTGAAATAGCTATCCAAGTGCAACAAAGTAACATTTTAAAGAACATACATGACACGGGTTATTCAGTAAGGTGTAAGCATTGTTCCCTTTTGTGATGACTCCCACCAATCAGAATTAACCGCTTCCCCTTCTTCCCTATAACAGGAATACTGCTACAGGGTGGCAGGGGTGCGCAAAATCACTTATATATGTGGTTTTGCAGTTGCGGATAGGGGGGCGCGCGCGTGCCCTACCTGCGCCGCCATTCACGGTCTTGATTGTCAATCACCAGGTCCCGGCTGGTCATTACTCGCTGGTCCTTCTTCCCTATAGCAGGAATACTGTTTCAGGGCGGCAGGGGTGCGCAAAATCACTTATATATGTGATTTTGCAGTTGCGGGTAGGGGGCGCGCGCGTGCCCTACCTGCGCCGCTGTTCTCGGTCTTGACTGTCAATCACCGGGTCCCGGCTGGTCATTACTCGCTGGCACCCGGTGATCACTGAATATTACCGACGGGGGAAAGAACTTTATGTAAACAATACAGTTCTCTCCCCTAGGAGCTCCTGCACTCTGCTTTGTATTGCTCTGCATGAATACAACCTCAGCCTGTTGCCATCACCAGGGGCGGACTGACAACTCATGGGGCCCCCGGGCAATAGGGGATCATGGGGCCCCTGTGTTCTTGCCCAAACTCAAAACAGCCTATGAAAAAGGTACCAGGGGCATCTCATGGGGCCCCCTACTGATCCTGGGCCCTCGGGCAGTGCCCGAGTTTCCAAATGGTCAGTCCGCCCCTGGCCATCACTATGCAATGCTTTATTGAATAACCTTGCACATAGTCCGTCTATCAGGGTGTCAGGAATTAGCACTTAAAGTGATTACCCAGTGAAGTGACTGGCCTCAGATGATATACAGATGTGAAACAAATCCTCCTACATAAGTTGTACCTGTTTATCTGCTGTGTTTCTTCTCTACATCTGTTCAAAGTCCAGAATTTATAATGCTTTTCTGTGCTTTCAAAAAACAGGGGGCGGAGAGCTGAAGTTGCACTCTGCAGAGCTCAGTGAGGAGAGTTATGAGCGCTGATTGGAGGGAAGAGACACACCCCCCTTCACACAACTCACAGGAACAGAGCTGAGGCTGTCAATCTGATTGAGGTCCCTCCCGTCACCATTTTTCTCTTGGTGTCAGGAAAACTTCTCAGAAGTGATTCAGGCTGATAGCAGAGGAACAAAGCATGAGAGAAATGACACTCAGTGCTCTTAACTGAGAAAAGTACACACTATAGAGGGATATGCTTTGTTCATATTCCATGTATGTTTACAGCCACTATAAGGCATGCTAAAATGACATGGAATAAGGCTGATGTAAACGTTTGCTCCGCCCACAGGTAAGACGGAATACAAGGCAGAAATCATCTTGCCTCCAGTCTCCAGAGTGAAAGTTATTGACCTCTTCCAGCGATTGGTATGTAGAGCAACAATACCAGTATTTTATTAAACCAATACATGTGTATGTATGTATGTATATGTGTGTATATGTGTGTATGTATGTATGTATGTATATGTGTGTATATGTGTATGTATGTATATGTGTGTATATGTGTATGTATGTATATGTGTGTTTTATGTGTATGTATGTATATGTGTTTATTTGTGTTGTTTGTATTTTTTTTGTATGTGTGTTGTATATGTGTTTTATTTTTTTGTGTTGTATATTTTTTATATGTGTTTTTTGTATGTATGTGTGTGTATTATTTTTTGTTTGTATTTTGTATGTATTTATTGTATTTATATATGTATATGTTTGTATTTATGTATGTATGTTATTGTTTTGTATGTATATGTATGTATATGTGTGTTATATTTTATGTTTTTATATGTGTGTGTATATGTGTGTGTATATGTATGTTTTTATATGTGTGTATATTATGTATATGTTTGTGTGTATATGTATGTACGTATATGTTTTTTTGTGTGTATATATATAATATATACATACACTCACTGGCAACTTTATTAGGTCCACCTTGCTAGTACTGGGTTGGACCCCCTTTTGCCTTCATTTTTCATGGCATAGAGTCAACAAGGTGTTGGGATCCTCAGACGTTTTGGTCCATATTGACACGAGTTACTGTTGCCTTTCTATCATCTGGAACCAGTCTGCCCATTCTCCTCTGACATCAACAAGGCATTTTCCTGCAAACCATTCTCTGTAAACCCTAGAGATGTGTGTGTGAAAATCCCAGTAGATCAGCAGTTTTTGGAATACTAAGACCAGCCTGTCTGGCACCAACAACCATGCCACGTTCAAAGTCACTTAAATCCACTTTATTCCCCATTTTGATGCTCTGTTTGAACTTCAGCAAGTCGTCTTCACCACGTCTAGATGCCTAAATGCACTGAGTTGAAAGTGGCCAGTGAGTGTATGTAAAGTATGTGTGTGTGTGTGTATATATAAATGTGTGTGTGTGTGTGTGTGTGTATATATATAAATGTGTGTGTGTGAGTATATGCATTTTTTTTTATAAATTTCATATTTTATTAATATTTTATTATAATTACTATTTTATTACTAGAAAATGTCAATTGTTTATAATACACTGAGCTTTATCAGTACAAATGTGATCCAGCTTGGTTTTATATCTGCACATTATTAATTATGGGGTTAAGTTTTTTTTGAATTTTTTTTTTTTTTTTTTTTTTTACCAATAATTAGGAACTTGTTCATATTGTTTTGGTTTTTTTTAGGGTCCTTTGTCTGTATTTTCTGCAAAGCAAAGATGGACAGCCCCAAGGAAAGTCCACTTAACTCTTGAAGATGGTGATTTGGGCTTCGTTTTAAAGGGTGACTGTCCAGTTCAGATAACTTCGCTGGATCCCCTCTGTCCAGCCGCAGTAAGTGCATTCATTTTCATATCTTCTTAGATTGTAAGCTCCCAGGATCAGGGCCCTCCTATCCCTCTTGTATTGAACTGTATTGTTGCTGTATTGTCTCCCGTTATATTGTAAAGCGCTGAGCAAACTGTTGGCGCTATGTAAATCCCGTATAATAATATCCTTAAAGCCCTAATCTGGGATGGGAAATAAAAAAAATTAAATCTGAGCCCCCCAGGGGTGGACTGACAACTCATGGGGCAATAGGGGATCATGGGGCCCCTGTGTCCTTTCCCAAACTCAAAAAAGCCTATGAAAAAGGTACCAGGGGCATCTCATGGGGCCCCAGGCCCTCGGGCAGTGCCCAAGTTTCCAAATGTTCAGTCCGCCCCTGGAGCCCCCAGATATAGGGTAGGGGGGAGGGGACATTTCTAAGGCTAGTGAGGTGTAAGCTGGAACTCCACTTTCATTTACCCTCATCAGCCCTAGTTTATTCCTTCTTCCCCCCTTAGCTTTTTATTTTCCTTCTTGAGTTCATTTATATTTAACTAACTTTTTTTTTCTGTTTATTCATTTTTCAGTGCCCATTTAAAAAAGCTCAAAATTAAAAAAAAAAGCAATTATTTTATTTGCAATGCCTTGTATTAATAACTAAATTTTAGTTTAATTTCAAACAAGATTTTATAAGGATTTATAGAATATATTTTTATACTTTTTTTTTATCTACAGTAACACTATTTTTTTTCTTTAATCCCTGATTAAAGTAGAAAAAAAAAATATTTTAAATTTTTTATATGTGTATACAGTATATTCTTATGTGCCCTTACGTAATGTCAACATTATGGCCAAATAAGCAGAAATGTAATATTTGTTCTGCACCATAAGGAGTACACAGGGGTGAGAAAGGAAGTGGTTAACTTCTTCCTGTCCGGGCCGGATGGTGGCAGTGCAGGGGCGGTTTGCCGTTCATAAACGGCGCCCACCATTTTGAAATGTGCGTGCTCCCGCGATCCGGTGCCCGCTGTGTCCGGAGGAACATCGATTGCTGTACAGGACCTCTGTGCAAGGTCCCGATCATGTGATCACTGATTGGCCAATCAGTGATTACATGAATAGTTGTAAGCAAGATATCACTTCTGACATCATTGCTTACTATGTGTGAAATCTGCGAATGATCACAGAGGTTACATGGTACAGGGCTATTCACAACAGCCTTGTACCATGTGACCAATCACAGCTCACACAGTATTTCTCAATGGCTGCAAGAATGCAGCCAGAGAGAAGAAGAAATGATTGCTTTTACAGCCTTTATGGGCGTAAAAGCAGTCAGTGTAAAAAAAAAAAATCACCCCCCACAAGTAGTACAGTGTCACTACGGTGACACTGTACTGCTAGGGTGACAGTATGTTAAAAAAAACAAAAACAAATAATAATATAAAAATGTAAAAAAAATGATAATTTATGGTTATAAACTAATTTGGGTTTTTATTTTACTAAAAAGATAACTGAACAAATTTTGGCCAAGATTTATGAAGAAAGATTATTTATTTGCAAAATTTTATAAGAAAAACACTTTTTTTCAACATTTTGGGACTTTTTAATTTATATAGCAAAAAAAAATTTAAATCCCAGTGGTGAATAAATACCACCAGTGTTGCATGACCGCGCAATTGTCATTCAAAATGTGATAGCGCTGAAAGCTGAAAATTGGTCTGGGCAGGAAGGGGGGGGGAAAGTGTCCGGACTGGAAGGGGGTGAAAGTGTCCGGACTGGAAGGGGGTGAAAGTGTCCGGACAGGAAGGGGGTGAAAGTGTCCGGACTGGAAGGGGGGGGAAAGTGTCCGGACTGGAAGGGGGGGAAGTGTCCGGACTGGAAGGGGGGGAAAGTGTCCGGACTGGAAGGGGGGGAAAGTGTCCGGACTGGAAGGCGGTGAAAGTGTCTGGACTGGAAGGGGGGGATACTGTCCGGACTGGAAGGGTGGGGGGGGAAAGTGTCCGGACTGGAAGGGGGGGATACTGTCCGGACTGGAAGGGGGGGAAAGTGTCCGGACTGGAAGGGGGGGAAAGTGTCCGGACTGGAAGGGGGGGAAAGTGTCCGGACTGGAAGGGGGGGAAAGTGTCCGGACTGGAAGGGGGGGAAAGTGTCCGGACTGGAAGGGGGGGAAAGTGTCCGGACTGGAAGGGGGGAAGTGTCCGGACTGGAGGGGGTGAAAGTGTCCGGACTGGAAGGGGGGGGAAAGTGTCCGGACTGGAAGGGGGGGAAAGTGTCCGGACTGGAAGGGGGGTAAAGTGTCCGGACTGGAAGGGGGGGGAAGGTGTCCGAACTGGAAGGGGGTGAAAGTGTCCGGACTGGAAGGGTGGGAAAGTGTCCGGACTGGAAGGGGGGGGGGAAGTGTCCGGACTGGAAGTGGGGGAAGTGTCCGGACTGGAAGGGGGGGAAGTGTCCGGACTGGAAGGGGGGGGGGGAGTGTCCGGACTGGAAGGGGGGAAAGTGTCCAGACTGGAAGTGGGGAAAAGTGTCCGGACTGGAAGGGGGGGAAGTGTCCGGACTGGAAGGGGGGGGAAGTGTCCAGACTGGAAGTGGGGGAAAATGTCCGGACTGGAAGGGGGGGAAGTGTCCGGACTGGAAGTGGTTACGAAGTAATAGATATTCTATTATTATGCTTTATGGTGTGTTGCCAGGACTGACCGTTGACTTTTCTCGGCAGCACAGGAGAGATGAGAGCCTTCTATGACCCGGGACTCTCATTGTATTTGTATTGCAGGGTGCTGGAGTGAAGGAAGGCGATTACATTGTAGCAGTGGAAGAGCGGGACTGCAAATGGTGCTCCGTAAACGAGGTTATGGACATGCTAAAAGGAATCGGGGAAGAAGGGAAGGAGATCAGAGTGATCAGCATTCAGGATCAGACGTCCAGCATGGTACGATTCTCCCTCTACAGCCTCCCATTCCACTATAAACACATCAGCAAGACAGATATTGTTGGTTTCCTCCATGAAATCAGACCCGGGTTACATGAAAAGGATCTGTGATATTTTTACTATCAGACTAAATTAGAAGGAGGCCATCAGCAGAAGGAGGCAGCACAGTGGCTAAATGGTTAGCACTTCCGCCTGGCAGTACTCGGGTCGTTGGTTCGAATCCTAGTCACAGAACCATCTGCCTGGAGTTTGCATGTCCTCACTGTGCCTGTGTGGGTTTCCTCCCACTTTTCTAAAGACATGCTGATAGGTTAATTGTCTCCTGTCTAAATTGTCCCTAGTATGTGTATGTATGAATGTGAGTTAGGGACCTTAGATTGCACACCCCCTTGAGGGTTAGGGACTGATGTGAATGTACAATATGTATGTAAAGGATGGCGCTATATAAGTACTTGGAATAATAATCAGTTGCCAGCCCACATATTTTTCTTGGGACATGTTTATTTCAAAAATTATATTCTTTCCACTTATTTTAGAGGGAGCCATTCCATGAATTGTGATACTCAGTTCATAAAAGTGTTTCTAAACCCACAACAGTAAAATCAGCCTGAATATGCAGTAAAACACGCTTGTCATACTCCATGTGGAACCTAAGGGGTTAATTATCTGCATTGTGTAAAAAATGCCCTTTGATCCTTTCTTCTCTGTTCTTCCCCTTTTTCAAGTGACCACCTCTTATCTCCTGATAAGACAGACTAAACCATAGGCATTTGCACATGCTCCGTTTGGTGTGTATTGCTAGAGGTTTTCTTTTTTCTTGAGAGAGTGCATGTGATCAGCACAGAGCCAATTAGCACTGGTCAGACAGAGGTCAGTTTTGCATCCTCCTAGAGCAGAATGAAAACTCCTCCTACAAGCTTTAACCAGTAATGTGCTGGACAGATAGAAGCCACAAAACTGATATATACTGCTGATGAGAAAAGGTATTTAGCAGTTTATATTTACTAAAATAGTTGCATTTTCATGTTGTGTGTACTGTGGGAGACCAGATATAGCGAATGCAGGGTCCGGGGAGAGCAGATATTGTGAATGCAGGGTGCGGGGAGAGCAGATATAGTGAATGCAGGGTCCGGGGAGATCAGATATAGTGAATGCAGGGTGCGGGGAGAGCAGATATAGTGAATGCAGGGTCCGAGGAGACCAGATATAGTGAATGCGGGGTCCAGGGAGAGCGGATATAGTGAATGCAGGGTCAGGGGAGACCGGATATAGTGAATGCAGGGTACGGGGAGAGCGGATATAGTCAATGCAGGGTCCGGGGAGAGCGGATATAGTGAATGCAGGGTCTGGGGAGAGCGGATATAGTGAATGCAGGGTCCGGGGAAAGCAGATATAATGAATGCAGGGTCCGGGGAGACCAGATATAGTGAATGCAGGGTCCGGGGAGAGCGGATATAGTGAATGCAGGGTCTGGGGAGAGCGGATATAGTGAATGCAGGGTCCGGGGAGAATGGATATAGTGAATGCAGGGTCCGGGGAAAGCAGATATAGTGAATGCAGTGTCCGGGGAGACCAGATATAATGAATGCAGGGTCTGGGGAGAGCGGATATAGTGAATGCAGGGTTCGGGGAGAGCGGAGATAGTGAATGCCGGGTCCGGGGAGAGTGGATATAGTGAATGCAGTGTCTGGGGAGACCGGATATAGTGAATGCAGGGTCCCGGGAGATCAGATATAGTGAATGCAGGGTCCAGGGAGACCAGATATAGTGAATGCAGGGTCCGAGTAGACCGGATATAGTGAATGCAGGGTCCGGGGAGACCAGATATAGTGAACGCAGGGTCCAGGGAGACCAGATATAGTGAATGCAGGGTCCAGGGAGACCAGATATAGTGAATGCAGGGTCCGGGGAGAGCGGATATAGTGAATGCAGGGTCCGGGGAGACCGGATATAGTGAATGCAGTGTCCGGGGAGACCAGATATAGTGAATGCAGGGTCCGGGGAGACCGGATATAGTGAATGCAGTGTCCGGGGAGACCAGATATAGTGAATGCAGGGTCCGGGGAGAGCGGATATAGTGAATGCAGGGTCCGAAGAGACCGGGTATAGTGAATGCAGGGTCCGGGGAGAGTGGATGAAGGGTCCGGGGAGAGCGGATATAGTGAATGCAGGGTCCAGGGAGAGCGGATATAGTGAATGCAGGGTCCGGGTAGCCCAGATATAGTGAATGCAGGGTCCGGGGAGACCGGATATAGTGAATGCAGGGTCCAGGGAGAGCGGATATAGTGAATGCAGGGTCCGGGGAGACCAGATATAGTGAATGCAGGGTCCGGGGAGACCAGATATAGTGAATGCAGGGTCCGGGGAGACAGGATACAGTGGATGAAGGGACCTGGGATTAGTATCACTTTAACTACCATAGAAGAGCTGAGAGTTTTCTAAAGCCCAAATCCAGTTTGGGTCAAAAACATTAAAGAATGTGCTGTCAACTGTTTTTAAACAAATAAAAGAGCCACTCACGCTGTTCTATACACCCTATCTCTGGTGCTGTCCCCCACACATTCATCCACTCATTGATCCAGCGACATTTATCTTCTGGGTTCAATATAGGCAGCACAGTGGCTTAGTGGTTGGCACTTCTGCCTTGCAGTAATTGGGTCATGGGTTCAATTCCCAACCATGGCACCTCCTGCATGGAGTTTGCATGTTCTCCCCGTGTTCTCGTGGGTTTCCTCCGGGTACTCCGGTTTCCTCCCACACTCCAAAGCCATGCTGGTAGGTTAACTGGCTCCTGTCTAAATTGTCCTAGTTTCATCCCCAGCCATGTGGGATCTCCTGCATGGTGGGGGTTGGGGAAAGACCTGGCAACCTACCCTGTAAAAATAATTGCTAAGAGAATTCATGGAAAAAGTCACTTACAAGTGACGGTCCATGCAATCGCCAAGGGTCGGATACGACTGAATGGATAGATAGATAGATAGATAGATAGATAGATAGATAGATAGATAGATATGTCTCCTTTAGAATCACTTTAACTAGCAGCGCACATCAGAACTTTTATTCAACATACAATGTAGCAATTGCTGTAATTCATAATATAATTCTATTCCTGTGTCAGCCCTGAGGAAGAGATTCAGTTACCCCCTGAAACATGTTGGCTTTCAACCCTGTTTTAGCTATACTGACACTGCTAAACCTGCAATCCTGCACATCGTCATGACCTAAGACATTTCTCAGATCCAGCGCCTCTCTCCTACCCAAAACTTAAGAAACAAATCAGTAATGGCATCCTCCATGTTCACACCCCGACAAACTTTCCTTAAAGTACATGTGAACCCTCACCTTGTAAAACAAGCCATTCAGTTTAAAATAGAAATGAAAGGTAAAACATTTGTGTATAGATATAAAAACAAAAAATTGGAAATACCTTTTTCCCCTTCTTTTATAAGCGATCACATTCCCTGCTCTCAGCTGCATAGAGAGGTGAGGTTGGAGAAACAGCAGTACACTGGTCTTCATGGCTGTGCTGGGAGGGGCGTGTCAGCAAAGTTTGGTCCTTGGAGGAGAGCAGGATGAGTTCCCAGCACAGCTAGAGAACTGACCATGCTGTGCTCTCATGTCTAGTGTGGTCAGTTTTTATTAGGAAGGCAGAGGGACTGGCAGGAACACCAAGGATTTCCAGAAAGGAAGCAATAGAAAGAGAACAGGAGACTTTTCCATGGTACAGCAGGCACATATCAGGAATAGGAAATGTTGGGTTGACACGTTCTTTCAGATATTACATGTACTGATCTCTGACTGTCTGTGTTTCCTCCTGTTATTCCCCACAGCATAACAAAAGTGCCACTTACTCCGCGGGAATGCAGAAGACGTACTCGCTGGTTTGCCTTAACGTGGACGACGACAAAAGCGTCAAAACGCAAAAGGCGACGAAGAAGCTCTCCTTCCTCAGCTGGGGCTTCAGGAACCGCCAAAAAGCAGCCAGCACCCTCTGCCTCCCGACCGCCACCACGGGGAAACCCGATTCCAGCAAATTGTTCCTTTCGCCGTACAACACCTTGGCGTCTGACAGCGGGATGTACTGATGGTGCCAGCGGATGGACAAGGAACTCTTTCATTGGAAGGACTTTTGAATTCCGATTACTGTGACAATCCCAGGAAGCCGATGCAGCTGTGACAATCCCAGGAAGCCGATGCAGCTGTGACAATTCACGTAACTTATAAACAGTTATTCTGCATAGGAAAAAGCTGCATCCTATCCGAATTTTGGAACGCGCCTCTGGACTTCATGAGGGGGGGGGGGGGGGGGGGGGGGGGGGGGGGGGGGGGGGGGGGGGGGGGACAGCGCCTTGAAAATAGTGAATTAAAGGGGATGAATTTGAGTTTTGCTCAGCTCCTTCCCTTCCAACTCTCTTGCCTTTTCCAGCTGCTGCATAGGTGCAGTGGAATGGCAGCTACACATGGACACAGATGGACTATAAAAACAAATGCGGATGTTCATTATGAGGACTGTGCCTATAAGAGATACTTCATGTGGTTATTATTGTAGAGCAGGGGTCTCCAAACTAAGCACTACAAGTCCCATCATGCCTCTGGGAGTCTTGCCTGTGGCTCTCAGTCTTGCAAGGCCTCATGGGACTTGTAGTTCCCCAACACCTGGAGGGCCATAGTTTGGAGAATCCTGACATAGAGTGTTAAGCCTCTTTCACACAGGCGTTCCGTGTGTCTGTTTTTCATCTGTCCGTTTACGGATGAAAAAACGGACACCCATGTATTTCTATGGACTAGCGGATGTAAACGGATGATCATCTGATAGTGTCCATATCCGTTAACATCTGTTTTTTTTTTCTATTTTTCTCTATTTTTTCTTCCATAAAGAAAACCCGGAATGGACAAAAAAATGATGTAAACTGGATCAACTGTGGGTATAGGATTTATAACTTTTTTTTTTTGTTTTTTTTTTTAATGGTTGAACTGGATGGACTTTTGTCTTTTTGTAACGATATAAATGGATGAAAAAACTAATGTACATGGATGAAAAATGGATGAAAAAACTGATGTAAATGGATGAAAAAACTGATGTAAATGAATGATAAACAGATGTAAACGGATGAAAAATTGATTAAAACACTGACGTAAACGGATGAAACAACTGATGTAAATGGATGAAAAAACATTTGTAAATGGATGAAAAACGGATGAAAAATTGATGAAAAAACTGATGTAAATGGATGAAAAAACTGATGTACATGGATGAAAAAACTAATGTACATGGATGAAAAAACTAATGTACATGGATGAAAAAACTGATGTAAATGGATGAAAAAACTGATGTAAACGGATGATAAAACTGATGTAAACGGATGAAAAATTGATTAAAACACTGACGTCAACGGATGAAAAATGGATGAAACAACTGATGTAAATGGATTGAAAAACTTTTGTAAATGGATGAAAAACGGATGAAAAAACTGATGTAAATGGATGATAAAACTGATGTAAACAGATGAAAAATTGATAAAAAAAACTGACATAAATGGATGAAACAACTGATGTAAATGGATGAAAAAACACAGATGTAAATGGATGAAAAACGAATGTAAACTGATCCATTTTTGCTTGGAAAAAACGTGACCGAACTGATGAAAAAAATGGAACGCCCGTGTGAAAGGGGCCTAATTTTAAACCTTGAATGAAAAAAAAAATTTTTTTTTTTCATTTGTAAACTTTTAATTGCAAGGACTGGTTCACATAAGGGCTGGTTTAAAGAGGGTCTGCTGTACCTGCCCAGCGACACATTAAATGTGTATTTCGAGAGGTAACATGTAACTATAAATATAATGCTCTTTTCAGGGAAGATTAATAAGTGAAAAAATAGGAAATGTAAAGGGGAGGTATGAAATTGTATGTGAGAATGGGGGCAATATCAAATGTTATTAGGCTATTTTCTCCCCAGATTGAATGTCATTCCTTCTAATAGAATAGAGGGAGTCAGGAAAATACTGCATTATGGCCACTAGACGCAGCTGGAGAAAATGGTTTCTTGTGTCCTAGGACCGTCAGCTCCATCTATTGGCCACAATGTAATATTTTCTGAAAGCACTCTTTTTTTTTTTGTGAATAATAACATTCAACCCGGAGAGGACATCATCTAATAAAGTTCACTTTTGCCTCCCATTCACACAAGTTTCCAGAACAAGATTAGAGGGGAACTCTTTCAATGGGGACGCTTATTCTGGTGATAAGTTTCTATGACGGGATTTTTTTTTCCCTAAAAGAGGCACAAAATGGCAAAAAGAACCTCAGGTGTTTTTGAACGATTCCATGCATTAAGTTTTGGCTTTTGATATAGTTTAATCCAGTGTTTCTCAACCTTTTTTCAGTCAAGGCACCCTTTAAAAAGTATGGACAGTCTTGAGGCACCCCATTCTAAATGTGAAAAGTTTTATATAACGCAGCAACATCCACACATGTAGGACACCCAACATTAGAGGGGATTTATTCTTCCAAAGCAAATACACTTTTAGTACTGACTAGTATTCCTATGTTTCTCTTCTCCCTCAGTTTTTCTCCATCACTAAGCTAATGTGACCCCAGCACTGATGGAGAGGGGCAGGGGAGGGTCAAACTAGGATGCTGCGCAGGCAGCTGACACCCTCCTTATCAACTGATGATGTCATTGGTGGTCAGGATGCCAGCGGCTAGAAGGTCGTAATGGTGCAGAATGAAAGCCTGTGGCTTTGTGTAACTTAAAGGCCAGCTTGTTCCACCCTCTGGCTTGTATACAGGTTTTGGGCAATTTTTAGACATTTTGCCAAGGCACCCCTGAAGAAGCCTCAAGGCACCCCTGAAGAAGCCTCAAGGCACCCTGGTTGAGAAAGGCTGGTTTAATCCATGAACTTGTACCACTGTTTGGGGAAAGTCAGAGCTTAGTTCATGTCTGAAAGACAAAAGAAATAATCCGATTCGATATTAGTTATGTTGTGCAGATTCAGTAGGCTTTTTAGAGTGTTCCCGCGATTGCATGCTGTGACGCCTCCCATTATGGGGACTGGAGGCAGAGCGTGAACTGGGTAATGCTGTGAGATTCAGATCTGTTTAGAAAACAAGATCTCCAGCAACCAGGAAGACTGAATACAATGGACACCCAGCGGCTTGGTGGTTAACACGTCGCTCATGCAGCGCTGGTTCCTTGGTTCAAGTCCCAATCAGGACACTATCTGCATGGTGTTTGCTTGTTCTGTCTGCATGGAGTGAGCCCTGTGCTTGCATAGCTTTCCTCCACACTCCAAAGACTTGCTTGGCTCCTGTCTTCAATTGGCCCCAGTAGGATATGCTATTGAGCGCAGCCAAGATGGCTGCCTCAGCACCCGGCTCAGCAGCACGTTGAATCGCCGGGTGCTATAATAATTAATTTTTTTTAAAAAAATGTAAATTGTACAAAGGATGAATTTTGTGCTCTCTGGGTTAAAACAGCCCTTATGTGACCCAGCCCATACGATGGAAAAGTCTGTAATGACTCCAACTTTTAAACAATTTTTTTTCTTTTTACTGTGTTATAATGACTCGAGGATCATTTTGCATTTTAAAGTCAACGAATTATAGAGACGCTCCAAAGGGCTGCAACCTGAAGTATGGAAGATGATTGCAGTGGAACAACACTGCCCCCTGCTGGCTAGAAATATGTACGACACACTCTGCAAACGGACATAAGAAACCGATCACTTTCTGGTTGCAGGACCTAAATCAGTAGGAACAATTATTATTATTTTTTTTTTGATGTTTGATTTACCATACTCAGGCATTCAGTTTAAGCTGGACCAAAGATGCCACGAGAAGGGACACAGGTGTGGATGGGGATACATCCTCATATTTCTCTCTATGCTGCTATAGATGATGCTGTTACTGCTAAGACTGCGATACAGGTCTGTGGCAGTGAGCCAATAACAAAGCTGTAGGATTTGGACCACTATGTTGTGCAATGCTGGACTTGTCTTTATGATTTTACTATTGTTATATATTTAAGTGTTGTTTATACGGTGTTATTGTAAAACAGGATAGCCAACTAAGGCTATCTGCCCCAGGATGGATTGTGGCGGTATGGATCTTGTTCAAGGAACTAATACAGACTAAAATATGGACTCCTTTCTTTGTAATATGCATTACCGTATAGATAGGGTGGACTTATTGCATGATCTTCTGACTTCTGAAGGATACCCAAGATGCCTTTTGCGCCATAGTAGGAAACTGTGTGTCCTATTAGGAAACTTCTCCAGGAAAATCTTCCAATACAATGAAGCTGGTTACTTGGTAACATCAATTCTTTATTGGATACAGCAGTAACACGCTAACGCATTTCAGCCGAAGACTTACACATAGCCTAGGCTATGAGTAAGGCTTCGGTCGAAATGTGCTAGATGTTACTGCTGTATCCAGCCAGGTAGCCAATAAAGAACTTATGCAAATGATGTTACTGAGTAGTCGGCTTCATTGTATTAGAGGATTATTGCTACATTTCAAAGGCATTTGGTTCCTAGTCTCCTAGATAATTTGCGGTAGAGCATGCTTTATTGGACTATGATACAAGGATAGTATTCTGTTATTTATATAATTATCCTCAGTAGGTGAATGAGGGCTTGGGTAATGCCTGAGCCCATATCTGGAACCATCTGAGCTTAGATGGACTGGCCCTCAGCCGTGGTTCACACTGAATGCGACTTTGAAATCGTGCTACTTCACTTGAAGTAGCACGATTTCAAAGCTGCAGGTCAGTGCGAATTCAGGTGCGCTTTACCTGACATCTGTGCAGCTTCATGCATGGATGTCTATGCAAGTCACACCTGAAATCGCCAAAAATAGTGCAGGAGCTGCCGGAGTCGCACTGGTTTGAACGGTTCCATTGCCGACAATAGGGTGCGGCTTGTCATGTGATTTGACAGTTCCAAATGGCATGACAAGTCACATCAGTGTGAAGCGTAGAAGACATCATATATTCCTTTCCAGTTCTATAGATATATATGAGAATTCTCGAACACTCAGTCCAGAGGTGTCCCTAGGGTTGGTGTCACCCGGTGCGGTAACACTT